TTGATTCGGTGTATTTATAAATTTCAAGCGGTTTATGATAGAGCGAACCAAAGGTACACAGTCCTGGTTGGTTGGTTCGCAGGCTATCATTTCTCGATAATTTGTGCGAATTCTCGAAAAGTTATAACTGATCTCGAGAGGCGATGACTACATTTTTTGCACAAGATCTCCTGTTTTAAATGCTATTAGTTAAACTGTCATTTTTTAGAAAAAAAAAAAACGAAAAAAAAAAAAAAAACACGAATTAAATTGTGTGGGAACAAACAAAAAGTTTATTATTGGATGAACCGTAAGTTATTTATTAACGTAGCTTCGTTAGGACAGAACCGGTGCATTCACTTAACGAGTCATTGTGTAATAATACACGTTTTTTGAACTTATTTCGTATTTATCACTCAGACATCTACTCATAGGTGTTCATAATTAAAACAAAATCTTTACATACAAACCAAATTTGTCTGCTTCTCGGATGTGACTTAATGTAAGGAAATGTAACTCTTGACAAATGTATACATTTACAGTAGCAAAAACGATAGTTTTGCTGTAAAGCGACTTGACGTTAAATTTACCCCTTATGAAAAACAAATAATAAAAAAAAATCGCTGAAATGTAACGAGGATTTTTTGCATGCCTCAGTGAAGCGAAAAAACTTGTGCAACACCCAACATCGAACTTGGCTGGGTAGATCGCTTTATTAAAACTTTCACAGCAAACGTGCATTTTTTTTTCACAGGCAATAGGACTGGCTATTTCGAAGTCAAAGGTTTGCTAAAATCATATTATTTTTATATAGAACACATAATCTGGCAAATTATACTATTATAACACGTTTAAAACAATGTAAAATCACTTATTCGCATACCTAAATAGATAGATTAAACAAAAATGTCTTTGGAATAAAATCGTTTGGTACATGCATATATAAATAAATATATTTTGAGATATAACATTTCATAACAAAATATTGAACTTCTATTTTGAATGCTTAGGTTATGTGACAATTTCGCGCATGCTCCACTCTGGTAAGAGTTTCTTGTAGTTTAGGTATTTTGATAAATATTTACTTTCAAACAAATATTTTCTTTAATACTGACGTCCCAATTAAACGACTAGACCATTAAAAAAGCAAGTTATAGTGTTTTATTTTTGTTATGCATGCAAACAGGTGACCGTGCGCCTATCATAATTAATCCATCCAATTATTCAATGAAAATTAAAAACGACACATTACACAGACACAGTTTCGAATTTATCCCAATAACTCTGAAAGAATTATGAATTCCTGCCAGTAACCGCATTTTAACTAAATAAAGCCAACATTTAACAACCAAGTTCGAAAAAATCTACCTTTAAGATTAAGTCTGAGACAGACAAAATCCACGCATTCCCTGACTTTAGCCTAAACGTGACACAATTACTCACTTATGGCATAATCTGACTGACCTACTTGACATAATTATAATAATGAGTTTACACGGACCGTGTATACAAATCAGTTGACCAATCAAATAACTTGATTAAAATATCTCCAGAACGGGATGCGCAGTACTATAAACTATGAGTATGAAAATAACCAATTATGTAATAGATATTTTTTTATTATCTTTCTTATAAATTCCTTCAAGATCTTAAATAAAAGTTGTCCTCTGTGATTACGTATATTATTAGAATGTGTTGTCATGTCTATATATGTTAAATACTGAGATATATTTAATAAACTTGAAACTTGAAAACGTGAAACCCTGTGTCACGAATTTGCAATAGGGACATAATGGATCAAAAATAATAGGAAGCGTCTTCATTTCGCTTTTATTGCAGCGAAATACGCCCTATTTTTTTTCTTGTTAGAAATTGGGTTACAATAGTTTTTAAATATTGAAACTGCGCTATCTTAATGAGTTTGCAATATCATTTTATTATCTACGAAGGGGTTACTCAATGATTTTCTTATTCGCTTACATGTAGATCATGTCAAACGTTTCACAATTATGCGATGAACGGAACCTTCTTTTAAACAACAACCAACTCAGATGTTTTGTTTATACATACATTTTTCTTATTAAATAATTACTCATTGTACTTTCAAGCATAACCATGTATATACATAATCACATTGCTGAATAAATACGAAATACATGTATTATGTTGTAGTTGCGTTCTAAGACTTTGTATTTTGCTACGAGCAGCGTTGGAAAATTGATATTTCGCGACCTAAGGTCGAGTGAGATATTTGCGAATGGCAAAATACATGGCCCAGAAAGCTGCTATAACATTAGTTTCCTTTTATTATATACCTTATCGTTTTGAGTTAAAGGAGTTTCAATATACTTCACTTCTATTAGTAATTTCAGGAAATGAAATGTAGCTGTCAAGAAATTAATTCATGAATGACGGATGAATACGTAATTTTTGCAAAACCGACCTCGCCTTTCATAATTTTAGTTCCCGTTTCCAAATGCTACGTTATACACAACTAAGATCGGCACCAACTTCAAAAAAGGATATGACATTTTTAATATGTTAATTCGGAGATATTTTTGCCTTGTGGGAAAATAGGTCTATTTTAGGGGTTTTATTGTCTGTCGATTGACAGTCCCGATTATTTAATTCTACAAAGCTTTTGATGTACATGTATATTCTTTAATATTAATATTATAAGATTTTGTACCTTCTTACATTGAAGTATTTTCATTGTATCAGATAATTATGGAGCACTATCCGGCGAAAAGCAACGATTAATCCGAATACAGCATGTCATCAAATTTTGTATCATAGTTTGGAGACATTTCTATTGAAAATGTGTCAGTGTTAAATCGTATACCCATAAATGTACAGTGCGTTAACTGGACTGCAGGTTTTAGGTACTTTGTCTTTTAATCTTTCTATTATTTGGAGCACTATTCGGTGAAACGCGTCCGACAGGGACATTCGAGGTGGCTTGGTGTGTTTATGGTGAAGGTGTGCGTGTCTGTTCCGCGTGAATGAAATATAACACGCTGCAGAAGTGTCGACAATTATTTCAGTTCCACTAAGATTTTATCGCCGTTACTTGACGGCGATATATACAATTGACAAGATTTGACAAGATTTGAATGGTTCTATCTTTACACCTTTACACCGCCTGCCTTTAGCCAATCAAAGCGAAAAATTCAATATCACATGATAACAAAATGGACGTAAAAAACCTTCAATGAGGGATGCTTTTATGGACTCGCCCAAGCGTCATGTTTTGTCGGGTTACTTATTCCTACAACTGAAAAATACCATTATCAATGTACGAACTCAGTACCAGTCTTTAGTCTCTTGCAGGATAAAAGCAGCAAATTGCAATATTTGCTTGCTTTTTGCTACATGTCATTTCTTATAAGATTTTTGTTTTCTTTCCAAAACTGGCACTTGAAGAAAAAAACTTCATAAATGCTTTTTCCCGGGCGAGGTTAATACTATGTGTGTTTTTATTGCATCATATTATACCTATAATATAGCAGGTCAGTTATAGTCCTTTTAAGAAAATAGAAATTGAAAAGCAGTCGACAGAGTGTAGAACATAAATTCCATTTATACAATGTGCACAGACATCATTTTTAATGTGTAAATACGCAAGCTTATTATTTTTGCCGATTGATGCACTGATTAAGTAAGGCAAGAATCCTAACTAATTGTACTACGCGTTTAGTTATTGTGATATTTTTCTTATGGGCAATATCTCCTACATTCTGACCCACAACAACAAAAAATATCAGAATATAACTGAGCACATCTAGGGCAGAATGATTATCACACACAATAAATTGAATAAAGGTATTTGGCAAGAAATGAAATATTATTTCTATATTCATGGATGAACGGCGATTCCAAGCATTTTTGGAAGTACTTATACTTGTAATATTATTACATTTCAGATGTTCTGGATTGTTGCAATAAGCGTTTGTCTCTTCACAGCGCATGCGTGCGAGTATGGCCGAGAAAGTGGCTTGTTTAGAAACGCATTTACGAGCACTGTAGAAATAGATAACTCAGAAGCTGACACGTTCACAGATACAAATCCAGCTTTTGGTCAAAGCGAGGCTGTGACGTTTACCAACACATTTAAGATATTTTCAAATACCGACCAGACAAACATCGTGGTAAGCATTTGGATTTAGATAAGATTGTTTGACAAGTTATGCCTTGTCATGTTATCATTTTTAACAGCCTTCTCAACACGACAAAAACATCCGTGGTCGAATAGTCGTCATAATAGTCACTTTTTATATACTTACAATTGGCTATTAACCGAATCAAAGCTTTAAACTCATCTCACAATTCTATTATTAACAAAATAACCAATATTATATTTTGTTCGTGTCAATTAGGTCAACTACTTCTGATAATAAGTACTTTTTAATGACATGACTGGTGACATGTCCGGGGTCCGCGCGTATGACACACACACGCACGCACGCACGCACACACACACACGCACACACGCACACACACACGCACACACACCGCACATACGCAGTTCCCTCTATTAAAAGAGTGACACTGAATCGGAAGGCCGGGGCTCGATTCCCAGACAGTGCAGGTACTCTTTGTGATAGACCTCGGAATTCTTTCTTTGGTCATTCCCACTGTATCTCTTCTCTGCTGTGTAAAGAATTAATATCAGTTTCTTGCGAAATTGAAGAAATCTAGTACAGGTACATTGTTTGATAGCCTGCCCAAGAACCATGCAGGGGCTGAACTGAGCTGTAGCTAATTCAAAGTGGCTTATTGCCATGACCAGGAGTATAAACTTCAAAAGCATCACCATCACTAGTAAAATAGTTAGTTATTATCACTTGGCAGCCTGTTCTTTTCGACGTTTTGTTTGAACCATTTACATCGGCTCGGTCACCCATCAAAAGGGTTGAAGAAAAAAACAAGAACATTGTCTTAATGTCATTAAAATTGTAGAAAAAAGCGATGTTTTATAATCATTATAATCATTCGAAGGGTTTCTTCTATTATTCTTTTTCAGATTTATGACAATGGTATGATGCTGTTTTCAAATACTGGTTCCCCTACCACCGCGTACGATGGAACTTCAGACGGTAAGTATTGATTGGTAAAAAGACAAACATCATATAAATTCATTTGTTTTGCAATGTACAGTGAAACCTGTGAACAAGGGTTATACAAGGCAGAGACCCTACTTGGCCTGTACAGACAAGTGACCTTTATTTTGAGGCTATTTTGATCAATGCAGTGTTATAGAAGATTGGCTTTTATTTTTATGGTGACATTTACAGTGAGGTGACATTTAACATAGGTTTGACTAAAGTATTAAGCGAAAATACAACACCTTACATCATGTTTTCGAGCTTTCGACAATCTTAAAAATCAATGTGAAAATGCAAATTGACGACAAATAAATATTGAATTAAAATTACGATATTTTGAGATTTCGCTAGACTTCAAAATATTTGCTCGAGATTCATTAATTCTTACAAAACAAAACAAAAAAAGAGACTTCTACACAATGGTGTATTTTGGCATTTAATATATCAAACCACGCAGAATCAGAAATTATCACAAACTTATTAAGTAGTCAGTTACTAGTAACAATAAAATTCGAACAGGAAATATGTTGGAACACGTAGAAAGCACAATACCTATAAATCTTCACCATCCGACATCTGTACAACTGTTCAAGTACGTTCATGATCCGGAATTATTTGTTTTTATTGTTTTTCTTTTGTTTTTGCCTACGCCGTCTGTCCGTCTGTCCATTTGTCTGTAAGTCCGTCCGCATTCAGCTTGTCCAGCTTTCACAGGTCAAAGTGCTGGTGGAATTGCAATGAAACTCCACGAAATGTTCCGCTTCGCTGCAGAGGTGAAATAGAAAAAAATGTCCGACTTTCACATGTCGAACCCCGGGCGGAATTTCAATGAAACTTTACAGGATTAATCATTACCATCCCGTGGTGTGCATATCGTCGATACGTTACGCTTCGCTGCAAAAAATGGCCACCAGATCTATCAATAAACAATTTTCTCCGGCTTTCACAGGTCAAAATGCTGGTAGGATTTCAATGACACTTCACAAGAGTGATCAGTACCATCCCAAGTTATGCATATCGCCGTCCAGGTCTGCTTTGCTGGACAAAATGGTCGTCAGAGCTATAGAAAAATCCTTTCCGGCTTTTCCAGGACAAATTGCTAGATGGATTCCGACCATCAATTCACAGAAGTGATCAATACCATCCCTAGTTTTGGGAGACATATATTTTTGTGACAAAAAACCCTTTCTTGTTAAGTCATAAATGCAATATTTATTAAAAGTTCATAAAACAAACACTACATAATGTTTTTACAAGGAAACAATAATTAAAACAATCAAACATGATTCGCTCTTCCCATGCATATTTAAAACATCAAACTTTGTGCAGGTATATATATTATGAAGAAAATCAGAATTATAAACAAATTCGGCGTAAATCTGGATCATCCTTTATCATTGCGTATATCACATCGACTTAAAATACTCTTTAATTATTTGATATATCACGTGATATACATTCTATATTAGGCTTCCATAATTTATTGGGAAAGATAAACATTCAAAATGGTCGTTTGAATTGTCAATTTAATAGCCTATACAGTTTGCTTAAGTCATACGCACTGATTAAACATGGTTGTGAAGTACGCGGGGTAACGGGAAAGCAGTCTAGCGGGCTAACGGTGTGAACTGAGCAGGCTAGCAGTCTAGCGGGATAACAGTGTAAACTGGGCGGGCTAGCAGTCTAGCGGGATAACTTCACACTGCTAGGAAGTATATCATGAGGTTTTAATGTGGATTCAATTAAGTATTAAAGTTTAGACCGCTGGCCCGCCAGACCGCCCAGTTCACACTGCTAGCCCGCTACACTGTAAGACCACACACTTTACACTGCCAGGTAATGTATCATAACGTTTTCATGTTCAATCAGTTAAGTTTTAGAGTAAAGCCCGCTGGCCCGCTCAGTTCATACTGCTAGACCGCTACACTGTCAGCCCGCCCACTTCACACTGCTAGGAAATGTATCATGAGGTTTTAATGTGGATTCAATTAAGTACTAAAGTTTAGCCCGCAGGCCCGCCATCCCGCCCGCCCACTTCACACTGTCAGGTAATGTATCATAACGTTTTCATGTTCAATCAGTTAAGTTTTAGAGTAAAGCCCGCTGGCCCGCCAGCCCGCTCAGTTCATACTGCTAGACCGCTACACTGTCAGCCCGCCCACTTCACACTGCTAGGAAATGTATCATGAGGTTTTTATGTGGATTCAATTAAGTACTAAAGTTTAGCCCGCAGGCCCGCCATCCCGCCCGCCCACTTCACACTGTCAGGTAATGTATCATAACGTTTTCATGTTCAATCAGTTAAGTTTTAGAGTAAAGCCCGCTGGCCCGCAAGCCCGCCCAGTTCACACTGCTAGACCGCTACACTGTCAGCCCACCCACTTCACACTGTTAGGAAATGTATCATGAGGTTTTAATGAGGATTCAATTAAGTACATTTTATATTAAAGTTTAGCTCGCCAGCCCGCCCATTTCACACTGCTCGGCAGCTGCACTGTTAGCCCGCCCACTTCACACTGCTAGGAAAGGTTTCATAACGTTTTCATGTTGATTCAATTAAGTATTAAAGTTAAGCCCACTGGCCCGCCAGCCCAATTAGTTCACACTGCTAGCTCCGCTACACTGTTAGCCCGCCCAATTCAAACCGCTAGGAAATGTATCATAACGTTGTCATGTTGATTCAATTAAGTATTAAAGTTTTACCCGCTGGCCTACCAGCCCGCTCAGTTCACACTGCTAGCCCGCTACACTGTTAGCCCGCCCACTTCACACTGCTAGGAAATGTATCATAACGTTTTCATGTTGATTCAATTAAGTATTAAAGTTTATCCCGCTGGCCCGCCAGCCCGCTCAGTTCACACTGCTAGCCCGCTACACTGTTAGCCCGCCCACTTCACACTGCTAGGAAATGTATCATGACGTTTTAATATTGATTCAATTAAGTATTAAAGTTTAGCCCGCTGGCCCGCCAGCCCGCTCAGTTCACACTGCTAGCCCGCTACACTGTTAGCCCGCCCACTTCACACTGCTAGGAAATGTATCATAACGTTTTAATATTGATTCAATTAAGTATTAAAGTTTAGCTCGCTGATCCGCCAGTCCGCTCAGTTCACACTGCTAGCCCGCTACACTGTTAGCCCGCCCACTTCACACTGCTAGGAAATGCATCATGAGGTTTTAATGTTGATTCAATTAAGTATTAAAGTTTATCCCGCTGGTCCGCCAAGTTCACACTGCTATCCCGCTACACTGTTAGCCCATCCACATCACACTGCCAGGTAATGTGTCATAACGTTTTGATGTTCAATCAGTTATCCCACTAGCCTGACAACCCGCTCAGTTCACACTGCTAGCCCGTTACACTGCTAGCCTGCCCACTTCACACTGCTAGGAAATGTATCATGAGGTTTTATTGTTGATTCAATTAAGTATTAAAGTTTAGCCCGCTGCTCCGCCAAGTTCGCACTGCTAGCTCGCTACACTGTAGGCCCGCCCACTTCACACTGCCAGGAAATGTATCGTGAGGTTTTAATATGGATTCAATTAAGTATTAAAAAATATCCCGCTGGTCCGCCAGCCCGCCCACTTCACACTGTTAGGAAATGTATCATGAGGTTTTAATGAGGATTCAATTAAGTACATTTTATATTAAAGTTTAGCTCGCCAGCCCGCCCATTTCACACTGCTCGCCCGTTACACCTTTAGCCCGACCACTTCACACTGCTAGGAAATGTTTCATAACGTTTTCATGTTGATTCAATTAAGTAGTTTATCCCGCTGGCCTGCCAGCCCGCTCAGCTCACACTGCTAGCCCGCTACACTGTTAGTCGGCCCACTTCACACTGCTAGGAAATGTATCATAACGTTTTCATGTTGAATCAGTTTAAGTTTTAGAGTTTATCCCGCTGGTCCGCCAGCCCGCCCAGTTCACACTGCTAGACCGCTAGACTGCTAGCCCGCCCAGTTTACACTGTTAGCCCGCTAGACTGCTAGCCCGTTACCCCGCGTACTTCACGGCCATCTGATTAAACATACGCTACTTCAGAGTGTGTAGAAGAGTAAATATATATGTGATCAGCGAGGTAATGAACAGTCTGGCATGATTAGATGGTTAGTAAGTGACTCGATACGGGATGTAAATAATAACAGGTATAGGTACTGACTTGATACGGGATATGAAGAGTAACAGAGTTAGGTATTGACTGGATACGGGATATAAATAATAACAGGGCTAGTTTAGTGACACGATACGGGATATAAATAGTAACAGGGTTAGTTATTGACTCAGTACAGGATGCAAATAGTAAAAGAAATAGTTATTGACTAGATACGGGATATAAATAGTAACAGGGTTAGTTATTGACTCAATACAGGAAATAAATAGTAACAGAAATAGTTATTGACTAGATACGGGATATAAATAGTAACAGGGTAAGTTATTGACTAGATACGGGGTGTAAAAGGTAACAGGGTTTAGTTAGTGACTCGATACGGGATTTAAATAGTAACAGGGCTAGTTATTGACTCGATCCGGGATATAAATAATTGCAGGATTAGTTATTGACTCAATACGGGATATAAATAGTTACAGGGTTAGTTAGTGACTCGATACGGGATATAAATTGTAACAGGGTTACTTAGTGACTGGTTACGGGATATAAATAGTTACAAGGTTAGTTAGTGACTCGATACGGGATATAAATAATTACAGGATTAGTTATTGACTCATACGGGATATAAATAGTAACAAGGTTAGTTATTGACTCGATACGGGATATAAATTGTAACAGGGTTAGTTAATGACTCGATACTGAATATAAATATTAACAGGGCTATTTCTTATTTCAAAAAGGGATATTTGTTTGTTTGTTTCATTTAACGCCTTTTTCCAACAGTATTTCAGTCATATAGGCGGGTAGTTTCCTAACCATCGTTCCTGAAGTGTTACACCAGTACTAGACTACCTTCCTCCGCGCTAAACTACTAAAGCATCTCCCGGGGGTCGAACCCACGCCAGAGAGCTAACTGGATTAGAAATCATCGACTCTAACCCCTCGACCACAGAGGCGGTTCAAAAACGGGATATAAATAGTAACAGGGTTAGTTAGTGACTGGATACAGGATATACGAATCTGTGTAATCGACCTGCATTGTTTCGCACAGAACGAAAAAAAACAAACAAAAAACAAACAAAACAAACAAACAAAAAAAAAGAAAACAAAAAAGAACAAAACGCGTTCACAAAGAATACGTCTGCATGGAAATGAAGTACTTTACTACCAAAGCTGTGTGTATTTCATACCACTGATGTATGCATTTCATAGAAACGATGTATGGTTAAACAAACAGTGTATGCATATCACACCAACCGTTTCTATATTATACTGATTTTGAAAAAAATCTCTTCTTGTCGCAGGTTTGCTTTAAATCAATTTCATTTTTACTTGTTTTAAGAATATTATATCACCAGGGCGACTCCACTCAGGTCCAGTAGCTGAAACTTCTGACTTTTGACTTAAGGGTTTTCGAATCCCTGGTTATTTCGACTTCATATTTGAACATTCAAAAGTAAATTTCTTTCCTCTTTTACTTGTGCAGATTCAGCAAAATCACCTGACTATTTGGTTTAATGTTTAATGTGCAAATTCAATTTATTTATTATTTTGCCTCAGTATTTGGCATTCTCAACCAAGCATTTGCAACACCACTTTGGTTCAAGGAGGAAGCCGGTTTACAGTACAAATTTACATACAAACATCTGACGGCGGCTTCTGTGGTAGAGTAAGTATTGGCGCATGCGTGTGAGCATGTGTTTACTATATAATTATGCGCATGCGCTTGTTTATTCATATTAAGCAGTAGTACATTAAATGGTCGAAAATTTTGTTCCGTTACGAAGTACATGTATATCATTTCACTTATAGATTGACGTCAAACTGACGCCGTAAAAGATAAACGTTTATCAGAAGTCAAAATTCTGAACACATTTAAACAGTATAAAAGAAGCGACGTGAGTCTGGGTTTGTTGGCCTACTTTTCGTGAGCGAGTAGAGTGTCTGGTTTAAGCATTAAAACGGGATTTATTTTTTTTGGAAGTTCGAGTGGAGGCATTAAGGAATCCCGTTTTCAGGACTATATTAGGCAGTAAAAATTTAAACGATTTTTATATTCATATCAAGTACTAAAGCCAATCTTTGGTGCGCTTCATTATTCTTTGATATTCTAACGATTTCTTAAAATAAAAAGCATTTAAGTCCATTGGGAGCGTTTTTGAGAAGCCGTAGCATATTACTATTGTATATACTTGTATGGATTTCAGCGCTGGTGATAAAGCTATTGGGCAATCAAAGTGCGACTTACAGAGAATTGCAAACATAATTGGCGACTGTAAGGCGGATGGATACAGGGATTCACTGTCGGACGTGAAAGAAGCTCTTATTGTCACGTGGTCAATATGTCAAGCTATTGTAAATATTTTGATATTTTAGAACATTATTTTTCTTTTCTTAATTGATAAAGTGAAATATTTATTAATAAATTTATATCAGTTGAAGTAGTTAGAAGTAAAAAAGTAATTAAGGATATTTAGTGTTTGTTCGTATAGCTGGTTGCACAGGCTAATGAGTCATACACGCTATATTAAAAAAGAATGACAAGTCAACATGTATATACATATATTAAGGTTTTTATTTCATAATGTGCACTATGGAACATGACTTTGATTTATGAATATTATAGTGCAGGATACATGCGGACTGATCTTATGTCAAAATGATTAATATATGTAACTCTAAAACGTGTGTATTTATATACATTATAAAATGTCCTTAGGACAGGTTGATATTATATATACTATTCTCAAATGTCAGAAGGAGGAGTTCGGCTTTGGTATTCCACTCGTTCACTTGTGTGTTTGTATTTGTATATTAAAAGTATGTAACATCCGTGAGTTCTTCCTCCGTTATACGACATTTGGTCCAACATAATTATACTCTTAAAAGAATTACGGCGTATATTGCTATGCACCTGGTTGTCTGCCCGTCCCTCTGTTTCGTTTCTGGTCTGTATCTTCTGAACAGTGGAAGGAAATTGAAACTACTTCTCATTTTGTATTAATATCAAAATTGTGTGTCTTCTGCATCTTTTTTGAACCGATGGAATGATAAATGAAAACTTTTTGGCTGACATATTACCTAATTTAAGGTGTTGTGCAGAATTAATAAGATACTGCCTTTTTATGAAATCTTCAATTTAAAACCTATTTATTCTAAGATATCTAATGCAAGAAATTTGATTGGCTGAACCTGAAGGCAAACATTGAAACATTGGAATCCCGTTCACGATTTACAATGGTGAAAGCGCGACGGCACGGAGGTACGATGATGAAACGCGATTTTACGATGGTGAAAACACGATGGTGTGAACGTAAAACTACTATTGTGCGATAGTGAAAACAACGATGGTAAAATGGTGAAAACAAGATGCTACGATGGTGAAAATACGATGGTACGATGATGAAACTACGATGGCATGATGATGAAAACGCGACATTATTTTCACCATCGTGTCATCGCATCATGATGATTTTGCTATCGTTCCATCGCAGTTTCATCATCGTGACGTCGTGTTTTCATTATCGTACCATCGTACAAACTGATCGCGCTTTAACCATTGTGCTATCATGCATAACTGTTAAGGGAGACAAGAAATATAACTTATGTCCAAACGGAAGACACTGGGTGATATTTGAACGATCTGCGGATGTTTTTAGATTCAAAATTTCACCATTTTCATGTTAAAATGTTGAATTCTGCTTATGTTGGTGCTATGGGGGCGCGGACGGTAGTTTGCATTTGGCAGTACCGTCCATGATCAGGCTCAGTCAAAACGAGCCTGCAACATTTTTAATGTTGCTGCTTTGCACTTTCTTTAAGGATTGCTATTTTCTCTATTTTACCATTTTTCCGCGTCTCGCCGGAATCTCGCGTCTTGCTTCGCATCTCGTACGTCGACGCGAGACAAGGGAATCCTTCGTAAATAGTTTTCAATTTATATTCTATATGAAACTGACATTTTTCCAAAGAGCTACAAAACATAGCTAGACCCATTTCAGAGAACAAATCCTTATGTCATTTGAAGAGATATGACAACACTGATATAAAATTATGAGAAAAGTAGGGGTCATGTATCTTTTAAGAAGTATTTCTAGAGTCACATTTGTAACTGTAAAATCATTTTAGATATTTTGCTATGACGTCAAAGAACCACCAATTATAAAATTGAAATTCACTTGCCTTTAACCGCTGTAGGTTTGACACTCACTCGGGGCGGCGAACTATTCATGCGAGCCAGCCCGTCCAGGGTCAAAATGCGGAATACCTATCCGCTTGCGCACGTAATAGTTATTGCGTTCGCACGTTATAAATACCCCTTTAGAACGAAATTGCTATCGTGCGCGCACGTCATGGTATCGCATGGCCACGTAATAGCTATCGCCTAGGCAAGTAATAAATAAAAAATCCAATGTCCCCTTTATGCCACCAAAGACACCACCTTGTTGTTGCTTATGCTTATAATATTTCTGAAATCATTTATAAAACTTTATGCATTGGAAAGAAACGTGTCACAACGATATGAATGGACTCTTTGCATATGTGTTAGGGTTCTGGATATTGCACTGGTAGAAATTTTCATTGTGACATGCAGAACAGGGATATTCCTTAAGTTAATATATGACTCCTATGCAGAGGCAGAACGCTTTTGATCGACCGGAAGTGACTTACAAACGGTATTATAAATATAGAAAACACAGAACAATGACTGGTAGCCGGTAAACGGACCGGCATAATTATTACCTGTTTAGAATTTTATGGAAAAATGTGAGACACATGTGCTTCGAGTGTCCTTTCTATTAGGTGTGAACAAATTTGTGTCATTTCAAACTGTCGCAAATGTTAACGAGCACATCGGTCACATTTCGTGAGACTAATGTGCTCCGAGACTATTCATGCGAGCCAGCCAGTCCAGGGTCAAAATGCGGAATACCTATCCGCGTGCGCACGTTGTGCTTTTACAATGCTATCACTGATTTCCATATTGTCGACAATCGTTCTTTAATTGAAAGACTGGTATGGCTTTAAGGGCTGATGTAAAGTAGTTGTAACTGTTTTTATACATTAACACAAAATTAACGCAAAACATATGTTCAAAGAAGGTTTTACCAAAGTTATAAGTTGCAGTTTTCTAATTACCTCCCTTTATCAACATGAAATGTAAATTAGTTAATATCTTTACAAATAATGCTTTTTGGAACGTACACTATTGATAAATATTCATTTGAGCATTATATTTATGATATTAAACCATTAAAAATTGAGTATCTGGATCTTTAATAAATGGCTGTTAAGTTATGGAATGTAAGCTTTAGCTTATGTAGATTTAAAGAATTTTTTCTTATTTTTTACCATATACATAAAAGGTCAATTTTGACATGAGGACTATAATTTGAAAAAAAAAATGTAGAGGTCCACTGTAGAGGTTATAATATTTGAGCATCAGATTTATGATATAAAAGTATAAACAAAGTTCTGTTACAGAGTCTTAACATAGGACATGACTGCAGTTTAAATTGCGTTAACAGAATTTACACAATGTAGTTATAACATGATCATTACAACTTACGGATAGCTTAGGTTTTTCAGCAATTAATGTAGTCAATATGTGTATTCCTGTTTCACTTTCGAATTGGTTAATAATAGTTTTTTCAACTACACAAATGTGCTTGTAAATACAGTTAAACTATACAGTGTGTAAGTAATAGAAAGAGCATCGAAAAACGAGGCTATCTGATTAGTACGAAGGGGCGAAGCCCCCGAGTATTAATCAGATTGCCGAATGTTTTGATGTTCTTTCCCTTTTTATCGCATGACCGCCACAACTTTACTTTGAAGATCGGCATTCTCTAAATTTCAGTATTGGAAATTTTTGGGGTGCTCAAAATGAAGAATCAGTACACTTTCTCGCTAATGCCCAATAAATTACTTTATTTCAAATAATAAACTGAGCATACCTGAAAAAGATATGCCTTTGAAATATACACCGGGATTCTTATGTACAATATTTCCTAAATTATATTTTGAAATAGAGCAGGAAAGGTGATTAATATTTCGCATCAAGAAAAATGCATAAACTAACCTCGTAAATGGTTATTTATATCATAGCTATTCCAGGCAGGAGCGCCTCGAATATATTGTACGGCCATTTCGTAACCGGTCCGTGTTCTTCAATCTTTGACCCTGTACCTGCGCGTCCAGATCCAATTCGGACAAGATTTCTCCAAAACGTTCACTCTTTTTATCAGTTCTTTAAATCCATGTCAAAGTCAAGCATTTGAGCGAAAAATTCAAAGCTAAGAGTGACCGTCGGTCTTATATGTTCACGTCTGTTAAAAGCTGTAAGGATAAAATAAGGCGTGGTTAATGATATACTGACAGAAATAAGAACTATATTTGTTTGTCACGATTAAAAATAAATGAAAGATCAGTATAATATACATGATAAAGCGTGGGTTAAAGCAAAAAGGTTTGAGGTCTTAAAATTAATATTAAGGGGGGTTTAAAGATAATTGTGGGGTTTTTTAATTTTTAAACTGGAAAAAGCTTGGGGTTTTAGCGATGAAATTAAAAATTTAAGCCCTGGTTTAAAAGTAATAAAGGTTGTATCATGTAATGTAATTTTAATAAGGCTGGAAAGCTTTTTTAAAGGTTTGGAGCGATTAATATATTTTTTTTTTTTTGGCTGGAAAATTATTTGAGGTCGTTAATATAATTTTGGGGGGGAAATAAGTAAAGTTTGGGTTGAATAAATTAACTTTAAATAAAAAATGGGGCTTTTAATGAAAAAGGGGTTTAAACTATAAGGGTTTAATCATTAATAATTTATAAAGGCGTGTTTAAAAGCAATAAGTTTGGTCATGTAATTATTTTTTGGGCTTAAAGCTAAAAAGGTTGTAAGGTCGTTTTGTAATATAATTAGTAAGGCGTGGTTAAAGCTATAAGGTTTGAGGCGATGTAAATAAAATATAAGCGTGGTTTAAAGCGGTTGTGGAGTCGATGTTAATATAAAAGGCGTTATAAGGCGTGGATAATGTAATTATAAGCTATAAGGTTTTGTGAGGTCGATTTAATGTAATATAAGGCGTGGTTAAAGCTATAAGGCTTTGAGGCGGAATTAATTAAAGCTATAAGGTTGTGAGGTCGATGTAATAAATAATGGTAATTATAGGTTTTGAGGCGATGTAATGTAATAAAAGGCTGGTTAAAGCTATAAGGTTGTGAGGTCGATGTAATATAATTATAAGGCGTGGTTAAAGCTATAAGGTTGTGAGGTCGAATGTAATATAATTATAAGGCGTGGATAAAGCTATAAGGTTGTGAGGTCGATGTAATATAATTATAAGGCGTGGTTAAAGCTATAAGGTTGTGAGGTCGATGTAATATAATTATAAGGCGTGGATAAAGCTATAAGGTTGTGAGGTCGATGCAATAATATAATTATATAGGCGTGCGATAAGCTATAAGGTTGTGAGGTCGATGTTAATATAATTATAAAGCATAGTTTAATTAAGTAAAGCTATAAGGTTGTGAGGTCGATGTAATGTAATTATAAGTCGTGGTTAAAGCTTATAAGGTTGTGAGGTCGATGTAACTATATTATAAAAGGCGTGGATTAAAGCTATAAGGTTGTGAGTCGATGTAATATAATTATAAGGCGTGGTAAAGCATATAAGGTTGTGAGGTCGATTTGTAATGTAATTATAAGGCGTGGTTAAAGCTATAAGGTTTGTGAGGTCGATGTAATTAATTATTAAGGCGTGGTTAAAGCTATGAAGGTTTGTGAAGGTCGATGTAATATAATTATATAAAAGCGGTGGATAAAAGCTATAAGTGTTGTGAGGTCGATGTAATTATAATTATAAGGCGTGGATAAAAGCTATAAGGTTGGTGAGTCGATGTAATATAATTATATAAGGCGTGGATAAAGCTTATAAGGTTGTGAGGTCTTGCTAATATAATTTTAATGCCTGGATAAAAGCTATAAGATTGAGGTCGATGTTAATAAATTATAAGGCTGGTTTAAGCAATATTTAAGGTTGTAAGGGTCGATGTAATAATAATTATAAAGGGCGTGGATAAAGCTATAAGGTTGTGAGGTCGATGTAATATAATTATAAGGCGTGGATAAAGCTATAAGGTTGTGAGGTCGATGTAATAATAATTATAAGGCGTGGTTAAAGCTATAAGGTTGTGAGGTCGATGTAATATAATTTTATAAGGCGTGGTTAAAAAGCTATAAGGTTGTGAGGTCGATTGTAATAATAATTATAAGGCGTGATTAAAGCTAAAGTTGTGAGGTCGATGTAATGTAATTATAAGCCGTGGATAAAGCTATAAGGTTTGTGAGGTCGATGTAATATAATTATAAGGCGTGATTAAAAGTTATAAGGTTGTGTGAGGTCGATGTAATGTAATTATAAGGCGTGGTTAAAGCTATAAGGTTGCGAGGTCGATGTAATATAATTATAAGGCGTGATTAAAGCTATAAGGTTGTGAGGTCGATGTAATATATAAGGCGTGGTAAAAACACAGACACTTTGGGTGTGGATATCAAAACGCCTTTAACATCCAAAGAAAATGTATATTTGTCAATCCCAGCACATGTACTGATTATATATATAAATATCTTGATGTAAGCCGTTTTGAAAAAAAAAATCATATTTCAACGTCTATAATAATTTACAAGATAAAAATGTTCGCCGGAAAATATCCTCACACCTACCGTCATAATCACCACGTACTTTATTCCATTTTCAATATTTTCACATAATCCTTTGGTCCCTCGACAAAGAAGATAATTCTTCATGATGATGCACAATTTTAAACTTCAACGTCAATATAAACAACGCAACAGGTGAAATAAACATCGAGATTTTCGCCGTTTCACTCCATTTACAAAATCTGTCGGCAAATTCAAACGTGGCTCCCAGCTTTGCTTTATGCAAATCCGCTGCGCTTTGAAGATGAGAACCTATCGGCTATAGGCGGAGCCATTTTGTAAAATGTTGGTTCCCATAATTCAAAGCGGGCGTTTTTGCATACGGCAATGCCGGGAGCAAATGATTGAATAATAGTCCCACGAAGTCAAAAGTAAGATAAGATTAACGTCATAAGAAGGATCGCTATATGAAAGGCGTAGTTAGAAGGAAAATAACAGTCCATAACAATAAGACGTAGTGAGCCATTATAAGGATTGCAGATATATGTAAAATGTCGAAATTAAAATTTGACATTTCAGGGATATTTTTGTTGCGGTAAATTTATGTAGGAGCTTGGCTGATTTAAATTTAAATGAGATAAAGCAATGTTAAAGGGTTCGGTTTTTTTGAATTCGATTCGATTGTGCTGATGCTGTAATGTCATAGGCACACACTCGATTTGAAACTTTTCCCCCGGGTAATGTCTATTCTAATTTTGTCAAGGACCATAACTGAACAATCAGAATCTGAGAATGTGATTTCATTTGATGAGAATCATTCGTTTACGATGATATATCCGTACTGTACAGATCATTAAAGTTAGTCAACTATTTCCATAATATGGCTCAAAATTATATTGAATAAATCTGAAACAATGAAAATCATGATTTCATCGAATATTAAGTAGTGATTTTCACGCATGAGAGGTGTTTATGCGTGGAAGGAAGAATAATTATTACAATTTTGCCTGAAAATCCAAAAAAAAAAAAAAAAAAAAAAAAAAAAAGGAAAAAGAAGAAGTCAGTAACAGTCCCTGACCCATGCAATTAACTTGGTTTTCTAATGTCAAATTTTCATAGTTATGACTGAAACAAAGTTTATGGGCATACAGTGGAGGGCTTCAGGAAACTTCACAGACCAGTGCAAAATACGGTGTTCCGTTTTGACAGTCTGTACCCTCGATGCACGATGGTACGATGGTGCAAAACGCAATGGCCACGATGGTGAAAAACACGATGGTACGATGATGAAAACGCAATGTACGACGGTGAAATCGCGATAGCGCGATAGCACGATGGTAAAACGCGGTGGCACGATGGTAAAAATGCGATGGTATGATGGTGAAAACACGATAGCACGATGTTCAAAAAAGCGATGGTGCAATGATGAAGCGATGGTGAAATCGCAATGGCACGATGGTGAAAGTGCAATGGCACGATGTTGAAATCGCGATGGTATAATGGTGAAAACGCGATGGTCCGATGGTGAAAGCATGAAGGTAATGAAATTGCAATGGTACGATGGTGAAAACGCGATGGCATGATATTGAAAGCGCGATGGTACGATGGTGAAAACACGATGGTAAAATAGCGATGATACGATGGTGAAAACACGATGGAGCGATGGTACGATGGTGAAAACGCCATGGTACGATGGTGAAAACGCGATGGTACGATGGTGAAAACGCGATATAACAGCGCTTTTTTACCATGGTATCATCGTGACTTCGCGATTTCACCATCGTACCATCGTGTTATTATCACCCGTGTCTTTCGAAAACCGTCCGTTTTTACCATCGTCCCAAATGGGCCCCATCCCCGGGTAAAAACCGAAATAAAAAATAAACTATTTTTCCCAAAAGGGAAACCCCCACCGTAGGAATTGGAAAATATGCCCCTGACCATAAAATAAGAATTTGTTACAACTTGAAAAGGGGTTTTTTATTACGAATATTATTTAAATTCATATCTGTAACCACTTCTTTTGAGAATAAATTAGAGTGATTAAAAACTTTAAAGAATTCTTTTTAACAGGCTGGCAAGGTACGGAGGAAGAAAGATATTACAAAACGCAGCCTGACGGTGAGTAACTTAATCTTTCATTTTATGTTGTTTTTTTTAATTTATGTATCTTATTAACACATAGATTCAACAAACTTTTTTAACGTGTGACTTCTGATATATTTATCTTTGAATTTGGAAATATGCTGTAAAATGAATAATGTTGGCGGCTATGTTTGTTTTGTTTTTTATTTTTATTTTGCAGCCTTTGACACAATAAGGCCTTTAATTTGTTTTAACCATGTAAATGCTGATTTGTTTTTATTTTTCAAAAATGGACCTTTAATCTCGATAATTGCACAAAATCCTATAATACATTGAGTCCCTGATTTAAGGAATTGCTTGAACGACCAGGACAAAGAATCAAAGTTTTTTTCACTAAATCAATTAAACGGAGAAGTTCATGGATATCTGTTTCTCTTTGTCTTCCATATAATGCACAATGTCATATATAAGTCTTGAATTTTCTCCAATAAATCTACCTTTAATTTTGATGGACATTTTGCCAGATTCATATGCATTATTAATAGCTCTAACAACAAAAACTCCTATTTTGCTCCAAATACTGTATAAAAATCTGCACTGAAACCCAAAGATCCTGAACTCTTACTATTGTTCATGTTATGTATACTAAAGGTCCTTCTGTATAGCTGAGTTCACATTCTAAAGCATTTGATTCTGTTTTATTTAGTACAGATGCTTCTATCTTTGAAATAAAATTATCAAAAGAATCGTCATTTTCATTGTGTATTTTTGCAATAAATAGATTTTTTTAATTCTTTGAGTATTGCTGTTTGTTCTGTTTGTTCTGTATGTTTGTTCTGTTTGTTCTGTAACAATTGTTCTGTCATCCTTTTAAATTGCATTAACAGTTTTAGAAATGTATTTTGTTTTCAACTGTTTTTCAACTTCAACAATCCATTTAACTCTGGATCCAATAAAATTTTGAAGCTCTGTTTGAAAGTCCCGAAGGCATTTTATCTGTAGCCAAATCGGCTTCTAAATTATTTATATATTTAAAGATATTTACTTGGTTTGAATAAGTTTTCTTCTCTACAAAACTATAACTACTATATGATATAGATGTCCCAAACCAAAATTTCCTTAAAAAAAATTGATATTTTTTTTGGGAAAATTTTTAAAAAAATTCCCCAAAGAAAATATAAAAAAAATTTTTTCATTTTTTTTTTGTTAACATTATAAATTGGTAATGCATATTGTTTATTTTTTATTTCATCAATTTTTTTATACATATATTGAAATAATCATCTTAACCACTTAATATGTAAGTTCAAGATAAAAGAGTAATACACGTCTATTTAGAATTTAAATAGATAATGTCCTTTAATAATAACAACACTTTATCCATGTTTAAAGTCATGAAATTTTAGGTTCAATGTTACAATATGGTCCGATTGGTCGCTTGTTATAATGAAAACATTACAAGTATAATTTAGAAAAAATCTATTTTTTCTTGTTGAAGAGGCGTGCGTTTACTCCATGCGAAACGAGTCAAACGTATCACTTTGACCTATATTAAACAATAACGTATCTGTAGCTTTCCTGTTATTTATATTTTTGTAGTTAAAGTAGTCTTTTAATGGGTCTAACACAAAATTATTTTCATGACATAATATATATTGTCAATCAAATCAGTGTGGAACCCATATTTATTTATCAAATGAATGTGGATTCCATACAATTTAATCGCCTCGGCTATAGAGGATATTCAAGTTTTTTCTATAAATACATGATTTATTTTTCATCGAGTGGTATGAAAATAAATATTTTCACGAGTGGCGGTAGCCACGAGTGTAATATGGTAATTTTCATGCCACAAGATGAAAATAAATCATGTATTTATAGAAAAAACTTGAATTTTCTGTTTATTATATACATTTTTCTCTTTTTTTTGACATTAAAATTTGAAAGACTTTCCCTTAAATTTTGTATACTAGCAGAATTTTAAAGAAAGTAGTCCGGCAAGGTACCAGTGAAAATACGGAAAATATGTTTCACTGCAGTGAAAAATAAATTTTTACAGTGAAAATATGGAAAATGAAAATACGCATTTTATTTCATCAATATTTCTCAATGTTTCATTTATAAGTACAGTGTATGTAATAAATATGAATCATTCTCCAGCCTGTCAATGAAAAATTTGTGTTTATCAGAATTTGTGTCATATGAATTAACTAGAGTAATGCTCTGCCCTTAACTCGTCAAGTCTAATACTACAAAATTTCCCAATTGGGTCAATGATTTTGTTAAGGATTTTGTAATCAATGTTATTATCAAATATAATTGCAGGAGTTACATGTTCCGGGGTTTAAAACACACTCATTATTCTTTAACACACTATATCTTGTTTTTACAAATCTATAGTAAAATGTCTATCTTGAAGAAAATAAGTGTAACACTGTTTGTGTTAAAAAAAAAGAAAAACGGGGAAAAAATTAATAATGGAGATAAAAAAGAAAAAGAAAAAAAAACAACAACAGCAAAACAACAAACTACTAAAATGGTTACTATATATAAAAATAGCTCTTAATGCGTAAGTGATGGTTATGAGTACAGCAAATGAGTCAATAATCGCACATAACATGTAAATCATTGATTAAATCTTGAACCGATTTCTTTTTCTGAAATCTTTAAACTCTTTTCTCAAATTTGATTTCCTTGAACTATTTTGTCTCATCTGGAGGCATGCAGCTTCACCGATCAATATTTATGTTTATTGTTGTTGTGTTTGTAGAGATATTACTATCAAGGAATTCTTGCTGTCAACGATGCAGGCGAGACCCATATAATATTTCTTTATAATGATCCGGCTGGAATTCCTGGGGCAGCAACACAATACTCAACGGTAATGAAATGTAAAAAGTAAATTTTTTTATTTAAATCAACATTTTGAATACAAGCATTGTCTTTTATTTTAATATGTAACTTACCTAGGATTTAGAATGTATATTTTTCAAGACACACCTTATTGAAAAAGATAAGATACGCCCCATTTAAGTAAAAGATACGCCTTCCTAGAATATAGAGACCTACATTCTAATAAATGTATAATTTTATTCATTCAGGGTTACATATCTGGTCAGTCGGTGGCTGCACCTACAAGTAACGCTGGGGTATGCCCTTATACGTCAACGACCATTGCAAGCGGATCAAAATTACATACTCAGTCGAACTGCAGATGTGGCGAACACACACAAGGAATCTATTCATTTATGACCAGTGACGGTAAGTCAGTCAGTCACCACCACTTTTATATCAGAGGATATGAAATAAAAGTGGATTCAATATTGTGTAATCAAATAAGTGTGGATTTAATATTGTCAATCAAATCAGTGTGGAACCCATATTTATTTATCAAATGAATGTGGATTCCATACAATTTGATCGCCTCGGCTATAGAGGATATTCAAGTTTTTTCTATAAATACATGATTTATTTTCATCGAGTGGTATGAAAATAAATATTTCATGAGTGGCGGTAGCCACGAGTGAAATATGGTAATTTCCATGCCACAAGATGAAAATAAATCATGTATTTATAGAAAAAACTTGAATATTCTGTTTATTAATATGTACATTTTTTCTTTTTTGACATTAAAATTTGAAAGACTTTCCCTTAAATTTTGTGTACTGGCAGAATTTAAAAAAAAGTAGTCCGGCAAGACACCAGTGAAAATACGGAAAATATGTTTCACTGCAGTGAAAAATAAATTTTTACAGTGAAAATACGGAAAATGAAAATATGCATTTTATTTCATCAATATTTCTCAATATTTCATTTATAAGTATATAATAAATTCTGCTTCGCCACAGACCTCTGACACAATGAGGCGACATATTCAGTCACATGATTACGCCATTTTGTTTATGTATATTATAATGTATGCTGTAAAGTTTTAAATTTCAGTCATTGATTATTGTTTTGCATTCATGTGACTCGGATTCTTTGAAAAAAATTATAGAAGAAAGACTACTGAGGGATATGTTATTTGTAATTTCTCGCGATAATATTGCGATGCTGTGTTTTCGTGTTCTTTGTTCGAATGTGATTACCGAATTATTTTTATGAAACGGTTAAAAAACATTACCAATACAGGACAAATATGCTACTCATCTTTTGCTAAGCACCATAAGGTAATTTTTATATAATCACCAATATGAAACAGATTTCTTTCCAATTTTTGAACATTCTGATTCAGCAATGTTTTGAGATAGTCCCATGACACGAATTCGTGTTGACTCTAAATCCGTTACGACTCTAAGTAGCATGGAAAGCATGTACACTAATATTTTCATGTTTTGATGGGGTGTACAATCATATGTCTTTTGTTATACGGCGACATTACCGGCCTATTGTCATTCAGTGGCTTACATTTCTTACATCTGTTACTTCGAAGTTGCGATTGCTAACATAAAGCGACATTTAAAAGAAGCAGGTTTCCGACAGCAACTTCTTTTCGAAATGACATTGCCAATGTTGCAAGGGTCCGTGTTTCCACGCAGACGGTACGTAGAAGACTACATGAAGGTAATTTGCGGTCGAGAAGACCTTGTATACATACCCCCTTGACGCGTTGATATAGCCAGTCCCTTTTGGAATGGACCATGAAGCATACATGGTGGACCATGCAACACTGGAGACACGTTCTGTTCACTTATGAGTCCAGGTTCTGCCTAGACTTCAAAGATAGGCGTGCTGGAGTCTTGTTGTGCTAAAGAGAGGCAAACTGATAGGTCAGCGATACATAGACGACATCTTAGACAAGCAGGCTAGGTTCTATGCTTGAACAGTCGGCGATCAATTCATTCTAATGGACGATAATGCTCGCCCCCATACGGCCAGGTTGGTCAAGGCCTACATAGAGAGGGAGTCTATTGAGCGCATAGGCTGTCCGGCTTGCTCACTTGACTTACATCCAATAGAACACATGTGGAATGAGCTGGAGGATAGAATTTCAGCTTGTCAGCTGTAATCCAGAACCATCAAGGAGCTCGGAGTCATGTTGGTCCAAAAATGGACAGCCATACCGGTTCGAACTATGAGAAGCCTAATAGGGGGTATGAGAAGGCGCTGTCAAGCTGTCTTTGATACTCACGGGTCATGCATACGGTATTAAGTCTAAAACTGTAAAAAAGATAGAAATAAAAACAAGAAACTCCTAAAAACAAACCAAAAAATCCAAACAATTTAACAAATTTGGTAAACACGCTACATGGTCTATAATCTTCAAATAGGGATGTCATCCTCTTCTCTAGAACAAAATCAGTGTAAAACTCATTAAGGGCTAAATTCGCTCTTAATTTAAATTGATAAAACAGTAAATCAACATTTAAAACCTTTCACACTTCGTTAATGAAAATACATGAATGGTTTGAAGGAAAATAGAAAATAAAAACTACAGTCTGAGGTTTATACTTGGTTGCTGCCCTCCATTAAGCGACAGCACGTCCTTTGAGATAAACTTGCATCCCAAACTGAAATCAAAAGACCCTCAGCTTCATATCTAGTATATATTAAGTAGCATAAGAATTTATATGATATCAGATCAGAAATTATTTAAGTGTGCAATAATTGACTATTCATTCAACCATTCATTTCTGTTTTAGTGGCAGATGCTTGTGGAAAAAGCAAAGCGGACTTTAACGCCGAATGTAGTAAGTAATCTAATATGTACATTAATATTTTTCACATTGACGGCGACTGACTTAAGTAAAATTGTCTTTACGTGATGCATACTTTTTGGACTTTTCACGCGTGACACCAATGCAAAAACGATAGGCTGAACTAATAAATTTATAATAATGTAACTTGCAATATCACGGTCTGCAATGTGACAGTCTCAGTGGCAGGATACTACGTCATCGCGCATCTACAAAATGTGTTACAAACTTTATTGAAAATATATATAATTATATATTTCATAAATTTATTTTTAACTTCTTGAATTTACATTCAATTCATTACTTCATTAATATATATTTTAACAATCTTAAGTTCAACTTTATTCAGTATTTCAGTTTCATGTGTTCACAATTTTAATTTCATAAATTTACTGTTTACAGTACTCATTTCAACTTCGTGATGTCACGCTTTAACTTCATGTCTTCACGTTCACACAATTTCAACGTCTTAAGCTCGCGATGTCAAGTTAAAAAAATCCAGTTTTCAATGTTCAAGTTTATTAATTCATGACTTCTTTCTCACGAATTAACATCGATACTTCGTTAAGTTGAAATTGCAACTTCACACGCTTAAAATCACCAATTTAAGGTGAAATTTTGATTCTTTGAAGCAGTTTCGCTGAATGAATGATGCCCCGCCGGGTTGTTAAGTACACAACTATATCAAAGGAGTTGTTATTGATGTCATGATATATATCTGAGTGCAAATTTAGGTTTAGAGCATAGTTCATTCAGAATTTATTTAACATAATTTTGATTATGTTATTCAGATAGAGATATTCAAACAGATAATACAATGAACTTCAAGATGACTTGTCGTCCTCCACGTAATCTCCAAGACACGTGTCTAGGTAAGTGCGTCTTATACACGTAAACGTCTTATGGACGAGTAAAAATATATGTTTGCTTAGGGTAATGGATCTGTCCGGCTGTTTCTCCACCTTAAGGGCACCAATTTCATTCGACAGCTGATACAATTATTTTAGTGTGGCATATCTACAAATTGTACTTTAAATACGAATTTATTTATTTTGAATTTGCAAAATGTAGATATGCATGATACATGCATTCGATGCATTAAAGGAACAGCCTTATCTGCCCTGAAGTTAAGTGTTTTTGGACATCCTTTTTATAAGTGCAGAATATTATACTCCATTTGATTAGAGAACACATACGTAAGATCACGTAAAATAATAGAATCAAATACAATTTTCAATTTATTTCTGCGTATGTTTCTTAATTATCCTTTACATGTCTTTTTGTTTTAAGTGACCTTATGTAAAAAAAAAGAAATCAAATATTATGTTTTTGGGCTTTTGGACTTCAGTAATATAACTATGAATTATCATATATTCGCATTTTATTTCAGAGTTGGTATACTGTAGGGACACTGACTCTGGATATGAAGTTAACGTAAACTTGTTGCATGCACCGCATAAAACTCAAACGGCCATGAAATTTCTAGACCGAGCCAAGTTTTCCATTAACACAGTGTCAGAAAGTGGAGATGCTGTTTGTGCGTCAACATTTTCTTTAATACCCGAGACCACCGACAAATACAAGGCTGTATTCACCAACAATGACCCCAATACTTGTGACTGGGGCTATACCGCAGGTGTAAGCGAGTTTCGTATATATATAAATACCGCAGGTGTAAGCGAGTTTCGTATGTATATAAATACCGCAGGTGTAAGCGAGTGTCGTATGTATATAAATACCGAAGGTGTAAGCGAGTTTCGTATGTATATAAATACCGCAGGTGTAAGCGAGCTTCGTATGTATATATAATACCGCAGGTGTAAGCGAGTTTCGTATGTATACAATACCGCAGGGTGTAAGCGAGCTTCGTATGTATATAAATACCGCAGGTTTAAGCTAGTTTCGTATGTAAATAAATACCGCAGGTGTAAGCGAGTTTCGTATGTATAAAAATACCGCAGGTGTAAGCGAGCTTCGTATGTATATAAATACCGCAGGTGTAAGCGAGCTTCGTATGGATATAAATACCGCAGGTGTAAGCGAGTTTCGTATGTATATAAATACCGCAGGTGTAAGCTAGTTTCGTATGTATATAAATACCGCAGTTGTAAGCGAGCTTCGTATGTATATAAATACCGCAGGTGTAAGCGAGTTTCGTATGTATATAAATACCGCAGGTGTAAGCGAGTTTCGTATGTATAATAATACCGCAGGTGTAAGCGAGTTTCGTATGTATACAAATACGCGCAGGTGTAAGCGAGCTTCGTATGTATATAAATACCGCAGGTTTAAGCTAGTTTCGTATGTAAATAAATACCGCAGGTGTAAGCGAGTTTTCGTATGTATAAAAATACCGCAGGTGTAAGCGAGCTTCGTATGTATATAAATACCGCAGGTGTAAGCGAGCTTCGTATGTATATAAATACCGCAGGTGTAAGCGAGTTTCGTATGTATACAAATACCGCAGGTGTAAGCGAGCTTCGTATGTATATAAATACCGCAGGTTTAAGCTAGTTTCGTATGTAAATAAATACCGCAGGTGTAAGCGAGTTTCGTATGTATAAAAATACCGCAGGTGTAAGCGAGCTTCGTATGTATATAAATACCGCAGGTGTAAGCGAGCTTCGTATGGATATAAATACCGCAGGTGTAAGCGAGTTTCGTATGTATATAAATACCGCAGGTGTAAGCTAGTTTCGTATGTATATAAAATACCGCAGTTGTAAGCGAGCTTCGTATGTATATAAATACCGCAGGTGTAAGCGAGTTTCGTATGTATATAAATACTGCAGATGTAAGCGAGTTTCGTATGTATATAAATACCGCAGGTTTAAGCTAGTTTCGTATGTATATAAATACCGCAGGTTTAAGCTAGTTTCGTATGTTCATGTATATAAATACCGCAGGTGTAAGCGAGTTTCATAATTATATATATTCTGCAGGTGTAAGCTAGTTTCGTATGTTCATGTATATAAATACCGCAGGTGTAAGCGAGTTTCATATGTATATAAATACCGCAGGTTTAAGCTAGTTTCGTATGTATATAAATACCACAGTTTAAGCTAGTTTCGTATGTTCATGTATATAAATACCACAGGTGTAAGCGAGGTTCATATGTATATAAATACCGCAGGTTTAAGCTAGTTTCATATGTATATAAATACCGCAGGTGTAAGCGAGTTTCGTATGTATATAAATACCGCAGGTGCAAGCGAGTTTCGTATGTATATAAATACCGCAGGTGTAAGCGAGTTTCGTATGTATATAAATACCGCAGGTGTAAGCGAGTTTCGTATGTATATAAATACCGCAGGTTTAAGCTAGTTTCGTATGTATATAAATACCGCAAGTTTAAGCTAGTTTCGTATGTTCATGTATATAAATACCGCAGGTGTAAGCGGTTTTCATATGTATATAAATACCGCAGGTGTAAGCTAGTTTCGTATGTTCATGTATATAAATACCGCAGGTGTAAAGCGAGTTTCGTATGTATATAAATACCGCAGGTGTAAGCGAGTTTTCGTATGTTTATGTATATAAATACCGCAGGTGTAAGCCTGTTTCATATGTATATAATACCGCAGGTGTAAGCTAGTTTCGTATGTTCATATATATAAATACCGCAGGTGTAAGCGAGTTTTCATATGTATATAAATACCACAGGTTTAAGCTAGTTTCGTATGTATATAAAATACCGCAGGTTTAAGCTAGTTTCGTATGTTCATATATATAAATATAGCAGGTTTAAGCGAGTTTCATATGTATATAAATACCGCAGGTGTAAGCTAGTTTCGTATGTTCATGTATATAAATACAACAGGTGTAAGCGAGGTTCATATGTATATAAATACCACAGGTTTAAGCTAGTTTCGTATGTTCATGTATATATATACCGCATGTGTAAGCGAAGTTCATATGTATATAAATACCGCAGGTGTAAGCTAGTTTCATATGTATATAAATACCACAGGTTTAAGCTAGTTTCGTATGTATATAAATACCGCAGGTTTAAGCTAGTTTCGTATGTTCATGTATATAAATACCGCAAGTGTAAGCGAGGTTCATATGTATATAAATACCGCATGTGTAAGCTAGTTTCATATGTATATAAATACCGCAGGTTTAAGCTGGTTTCGTATGTATATAAATACCGCAGGTTTAAGCTAGTTTCGTATGTTCATGTATATGAATACCGCAGGTGTAAGCGAGTTTCGTATGTATATAAATACCGCAGATTAAGGTAGTTTCATATGTATATTAATACCGCAGGTTAAAGCTAGTTTCGTATGTATATAGATACCGCAGGTTTAAGCTAGTTTCGTATATATAAATACTGCAGGTTTAAGCTAGTTTCGTATGTTCATGTATATAAATACCGCAGGTGTAAGCGAGTTTCATATGTATATAAATACCGCAGGTTTAAGCTAGTTTGGTATGTATATAAATACCGCAGGTTTAAGCTAGTTTCGTATGTTCATGTATATAAATACCGCAGGTGTAAGCGAGTTTCATATGTATATAAATACCGCAGGCGTAAGCTAGTTTCGTATGTTCATGTATATAAATACCGCAGGTGTAAGCGAGTTTCATATGTATATAAATACCACAGGTGTGAGCGAGTTTCGTATGTTCATGTATATAATTACCGCAGGTGTAAGCGAGGTTCAGATGTATATAAATACCGCAGGTGTAAGCGAGTTTCATATGCATTTAAATACCGCAGGTGTAAGCTAGTTTCGTATGTTCATGTATATAAGTACCGCAGGTGTAAGCGAGTTTCATATGTATATAAATACCGCAGGTTTAAGCTAGTTTCGTATGTATATAAATACCGCAGGTTTAAGCTAGTTTCGTATGTTCATGTATATAAATACCGCAGGTGTAAGCGAGTTTCGTATGTATATAAATACCGCAGGTTTAAGCTAGTTTCGTATGTTCATATATATATCTACCGCAGGTGTAAGCGAGGTTCATATGTATATAAATACCGCAGGCGTAAGCGAGATTTGTATCTATATAGATACTGCAGATGTAAGCTAATACCGCAGGTGAAAGTGAGTTTCGTATGTATATAAATACCGCAGGTGTTAGCGAGATTCGTATGTATATAAATACCGCAGGTGTTAGCGAGTTCCGCATGTATATAAATACTCCAGGTGTAAGCTAGTATCATATATTTATATATAGATATCGCAGGTGTAAACAAGTTTTGTATGTTATATAAATACCACAGGCGTAAGCTAGTTTGTATGTATATAAATACCGCAGGTGTTAGCAATTTAATATGTATATAAATGCCAGAGGTATAAAGGAGTTTCATATGTATATAGATATCACAGCTTTGGATAAGAATTTATTGAACTATATTTCAATTTCATTCATCTAAACACTTAAGATTTTTAAGTAAAAAATAGTTATAATACATTGTTGATTACACAACTTTTATTTTACTTATAAGTACACAGAAAATCTATATTGGATGATGCGCTAGCTGAGTCTTAAAGGTTATACTGCTGGAATGCAACATAATCAGTATTGTACTGACATCTTTATTTCACACCGTTTTTCATTAATATTGACAGAGGCACAATATGAATTTGATAAGGTTGTTTTTAGTTGGGAAATGAAAGCAAGACTTAATTGATCCAAGGTAAAATACGAAAGAAGAAGAAGAATATACTCCCATCATTTTTTGGAATTTCATAAATATACTAGATACTACTGTATTGATTAATAACGCGCACAAATCCTTTGTCTTTCTAGGATAAGGCCATGCCAGCTCATTTCCACACCTCATTCAGTACTACATAAGGCATTCATACTTAATCCCTCAGTAATAATCCACAGAGCGAGAACTGTGATATGTTTCTAAATAATCTTGCAAAACTTTTGTCATTACTTTTAGCACTCTGATTATTATATGCTTATTCTAATAAATATATGTAAGAACATAAATTTTGCAGCCGCCTGCCACACTCGAGTTTGTGGCAAGAGTGTATGATCAAACAGAACCTCTATTAGAGAGAGCTGGAGATTTTTATCTCAAAGCCACTTGCAACGTGTTGCCAAAGGAGGCCATTGTTAATGTGGATACTAAGTGAGTATGAATGGTTACATCCCTTAGTAAAATTACATTCATTCAACTTCATTGTTACTTCCCTCTTTAAAACAGGCATATATTGTATTCTCCCTAGAATAAACATTCGTCATGATTTTGTCAGCCATTTCTATCAAGACATTGTTATCTCCCTTGATTATCCAGACAACCATTATCGATTATAACTCGTTTGTTTATTTGAAAGTCATCAATATATTGCTGCCATTATTATTCCTCCTGAAAATACCGACACCAGTTTTTTTTAATTATTACCGTAGATTACATACATCTCCGTCTGTAAATATCGACTGCCATTATTATCTCCCTTTAAAAAGTGGCAGCCATTGAAATCGTGAAGTTGAAATCGTAAATGCACGAAGTTGAATTCGTTAAGTTGAAACATTGAATTCGCGAAGTTGAAATCGTGTGAATTCATGATTCTTAAATGGTAATGTCTTGAATACCGTGTGTTGAAATTGTGTATTCACGTGTTACAATGGCGAATTTCCGAACATGAAATCGGGAATTCATGAAGTTGAAATGTCTCAACTGATCTTCCATATAATCTTATTTATTTTAGTGGTGTTGTAGAATATAATTTGCCGGCTGCATCGAGCCGGTACGTAGAGATGTTTATCAGCAATTCCCGTTACTACCAGGCTACTGTTCAGTCGAAGATTCCCAACGGAAAGACGGTGTATCTAGGTCAAGATCTGTTCCTTGGTGTCGCTCTGGACTACGGTACAACTCTTCCAATAGGTATGGTATAACAATATTATTCGTAACTTTTCGGCCATTTCCGAGATAGAGATTATTGATATTCGGCAAAATATTCAAAATCTTAATTTAAGTGGTCTGTTAAGATTGTACGAAACAGGGTGTACATGCTACAGGTTGCCATGTGACCACAAATGGTGAAATATATGTATGCACATTAAAAATAATAATGTTGTACTTTCGCATATTTTAGCTGTAAATCAGTGCATTCTTACATTAAAATTGTCAATATAATTGACCAATATCACGTGAGATCATATGATCCTACTGTTCTCCATGTTTTTGTATCCTCATCCATCATTTTAGATCTTATGACCCTACTGTCTATCTTCGTCCGACATTTTAGATAACATAATCCTACTGTTCTCCACGTTTTCCTATCATATGCCGCAATTTTAGATCACAAGAACCTACTGCTGTCCATGTTTTTCTATCGTCGTCCACCATTTTTGATCACATGATCCTACTGGTCTCCATGTTTTTTATCCTCGTCCGTCATGTAGATCTCATGACACTACTGTTCGCCATGTTTTTCTATCCTTGTCACCTTTTAAGATCACATGATCCTACTGGTGTCCATGGCTTTTATTGTCGTCCGTCATTTTAGATCACATGATCATACTGTTCTCCATGTTTTTCTATCCTCGTCCGCCATTTTAGATCACATAATCCTAATGGTCTCCATGTTTTTTTATCCTCGTCCTCCATTTTAGATCACATGATCCTACTGGTCTCCATGTTTTTTATATCCTCGTCCGCCATTTAAGATCAAATGATCCTACTGGTATCCATGTTTTTCTATCCTAGTCCGCCTTTTAAGTTCACACGACCCTACTATGCTTCATGTTTTTCTATCCTATGCCCGTATGCCGCAATTTTAGATCACATGAAGCTACTGCTGTCCATGTTGTCTACCCTAATCCACCATTACAGATCACATGATCCTACTGGACTCCATGTTTATCTATCCTAGTCGGCCACTTTAGATCACTTGACCCTTCTGTTCTACTTTTTTTTCTATCCTCGTCCGCCATTTGAGATCAGATGATCCTACTGTTCTACATGTTTTTCTATCCTCATCCGCCATTTTGAATCGCATGACCCTACTGTCTATCCTCGTCCGTCATTTTAGATCACATGATCCTACTGTTCTCCATGTTTTTCTATCCTCGTCCGCCATTTTAGATCACATGATTCTACTGTTCTTCAATGTTTTTCTATCCTCGTCACCATTTAAGATCTTATGATCCTACTGGTCTCTTTGTTTTTTCTATCCTCGTCCTCCATTTTAGATCGCATGACTCTACTGTCTATCCTCGTCCGCGATTTAAGATAACATGATCCTACTGTTCTTCATGTTTTTCAATTCTCGTCCTCCATTTCAGATCACATGACCCTACTGGTCTCCACGTTTTTCTATCTTAGTCTGCCATTTTAAATCTTATTATTCTATTCTTCTTGTTTTTCTATCCTCGTCCGCCATTTTAGATAACATGATCCTACAGGTCTCCATGTTTTTCTATCCTATACCGCAATTTTAGATCACAAGAATCTACTGCTGTCCATGTCTTTCTATCCTCTTCCACCATTTTAGATCACATGATCCTACTGTTCTCCATGTTTTTTTCTATCCTCGTCCATCATTTTAGATCTTATGACCCTACTGTCTATATTCGTCCGCCATTTTAGATAACATGATCCTACTGATCTCCATGTTTTTCTTTCCTCGTCCATCACTTTAGATCTTATGGCCCTACTGTCTATCTTCGTCCGCCATTTTAGATAACATGATCCTACTGATCTCCACGTTTTTCTATCATATGCCGCAATTTTAGATCACAAGAACCTACTGCTGTCCATGTTTTTCTATCCTCGTTATCTATTTTAGATCAAATGATCCTACTGTTCTTCATGTTTTTCTATCCTCGTCAGCAGTTTAGATCATATGATCCTACTGGTGTCCATGTCTTCTAACGTCGTCAGCCATTTGAGATCACGTGATCATACTGTTCTCCATGTTTTTCTATCCTCGTCACAAGTTTAGATCATATGATCCTACTGTTCGCCATGTTTTTCTATCCTCGTCACCAGTTTAGATCATATGATCCTACTGGTGTCCATGTCTTCTATCGTCGTCAGCCATTTGAGATCACGTGATCATACTGATCTCCATGTTTTTCTATCCTCGTCCGCCTTTTTGATCAAATGATCCTACTGTTCTCCATGTTTTTCTTTCCTCGTCCATCATTTTAAATCTTATGACCCTACTGTCTATCTTCGTCCGCCATTTTATATAACATAATCCTACTGATCTCCACGTTTTTCTATCATATGCCGCAATTTTAGATCACAAGAACCTACTGCTGTCCATGTTTTTCTATCCTCGTTAACCATTTTAGATCATATGATCCTACTGTTCTCCATGTTTTATATCCTCGTCAGCCATTTTAAATCACATGACGCTGACAATTATATAAAATGTTCTTTCGTTTTCAGATAAAGTACATGCCTATGGACTCTACACGTATGATTGCGTGGCGTCGAATAATGCTGATTTTCTTTCTACTGGTACAAACAGAGTGATTCGATTAACCGATGCAACAACTGGGTAAACCTCTTTTTCATATATGAATTCGTTGACAATGACTTGTACATTTATTATAATAACAGACGCGTACAGACGTTGAACACACCTCTAATACAATAAAATAATAAATTGATTTATTTTTTTCCCTGCAAGTCGTACCAATTGCCATAAACTTCGTTGGAACGGGGGCATCGATTCTTAAACTTTTAAATAATGATTAAAATCCCGGCTTATTTGATTTTATCAAAACTATTACAACCACCATCCATCATTTTGGTGGGTAAACAAAACTCTCACATTGCACTCGTAGGACAGAAAGGAGTGAAAGATCGGTATCCCCCCTGCCCCCCCCCCCGCCTCCCCTCACGTATCGCGTGTTTGAACAAAGTGGCGAATCTGCATGACTTTTTGACAACAGTTTATGGACGAAATTTCTAAATTTAACCAGAAGGCAGACAGGTGTCTCGTATACAATGTAAATAATAACATTAGATATTCTCAAAATGAAGTACATAACAATCTATATACCAACGTTGAATAAAGTCCCGATTTTTCCAACTGACATTGTTTTGGAAAACTCATTTTGAATAATATGTTACTTCGGTTTGATGCGATATTCTATTTATAGATGCATAGCAGGGACATTGCAAAGTGGCAAAGCATTTTATTTGTCAGAAGGATTTAAAGTAGCCTCAAAAGACGGAGCAGACGCTCTCGGTATAATCTCGGACACCACCACGGGAACCTATAATTTTGTACAGTTGTCAGGGAAGTTTGACGCAGCTAAATGGCTGGTAGGGGGAAATGATCATGTGTACTTCAGATGTAAGGTCAAGTTTTGCCGAAACCAAGACTTTAAAACATCGTCAAAATGCTGGGATGTAAGTTTTACATCCGCCTCATTCCGTCTAATTTCGCCACATTTCGTTTTTTTTTTTCGACCCATTGTGCTTATTTTTTCTTCGGTCATTCTATTTTGTCCTCATCTGCCTATTTTTTCTCTCAAAATTCTATCTATTTTTTTCGCAATCTGAACATCCTCTTCTATTATTCATAATAAAATCGGAATTAATACGGAATGAAAGTAGTTTTACCACGTGGCTTCGCATGTAAATTTGGAAAGTTAAATCGAATGTATATATTTGATATCCAAAAGAAAATTAACCAAGTTTTGGTACAGTTATGATTGAAAATAAGTCTGACAACCATTTTTGATTTAATATATCAACTGATATACAATTATAAAGAAATCCAAGTTAATGTCAACAAGTTGCATTTTTTTACTTTTTGTTTCTGCAAAAGACAAAATGGGGATATAGAAATAGGCTCCGTTCGTCTGTCAATCCGTCCGTAACGCTTCCCGTTCGGTCCATACTTTCATTTATAAAAGGGAATTTAAAAATTTAACTTGCAAAAATGTTTTTATATAAAGATGTTTTATGCGTTTAACCAACGCCTATCCCCAGGGTAAAGGGTCGTACTTGCTCATTCAATGTCAACATTGTCTATAATGAGGGTATATGTCGTGTCCGGTCCATAATTTTCTTATCTTTAAAGGTATTTTGTAAATACTTGTCAAAAAAAATGAGACAATGTGTCATGCGCAACAACCCGGTCACCTACCTTAAAGGTCAAGGTTACACTTATAGTTAAAAAAATTAACATAGTCTGTTAAAGATGATATATCTTATGTCAGGTCTATAACTTCTTCATAGATCAATGGATTTTGAAAATACTCGGCACAAATAGTCACAATAATAAGATGATGTGCCATGCGCAACACCTGCACCCCTACCTCCAAGGTCAAGGTCACACCTAAAAGTCAAAGATTAGCATAGTCTGCTATAGGGTATATTTTGTGTCCGGTCTATAACTTCTTCATAGATTAAGGTATTTTGTAAATACTTAGAACAAATGTTCACAATAATGAGGCGTGTCATGACTGTGCAATAACGAGTTGCCTACACTGAGGTCGACACATTCCGTCTCTCTTTTCTTTCGATATTTTGTCACCAAACCACATTCCATCTTTTTGCTTCAAAGTCCCTTATTTTTGCCACACCCTGCCTATTTTATTTCTACATTTTATTTATTTTCGCCTATTTGAACACATTTCGCGTATTTTTGAATATGTTGATAAATCCTCTGTTTCAATATCGCTTTCAGTTTTTGAAAGCTCTCAATTTCTACGTTTACATATGAAATAAATAGGCTCCTATAAATCTTGTATTCTAAGAACAACTTGAATTTTCTCCATTTTTGGCATTATCATTTGAAAAACTTTCCTTTAAATTTTGTTTATTAGCTGAATTGTCCGGCAAGACACCAGTGTAGATACGGAAAATATGTTTCATTACAGTGAAAAATATTTTTTAACAGTGAAAATACGGAAAATGAGAATACATATTTTATTTCATAAATATTTCTAAAAATATTTATGTAAGTATATAAGAAAATGTTTTATTTATTCTTTTTTTTCCGTGATTTTTTAATACCAGTCTGAAATTTTATAATGTTATCAATTGCTATATTACAGAAATCTACTAAACATATATATTGTTTGGCTTTGGGGCACTTCATTTTAATAGTTTCTTAATAATTTTATACTATTTTCTTTGCAAAAACATATTCATTCACTAAATCTTAAAGAAGCGCGATTTAATTTAAGCATTGTGCCCTCTATGATCGTATATTGGACAAGTTAATAACTTATTAAATTATTAAAATAAGGGAAACAACTGATACGTGTTTTAAAACATGTTTGCAAGAGTTGTTTACCTTTATATGGCACTCGTATGACTTGTTTACTTGGCCGTAATAGACGACCTTATAGATTTCCAATTCTCACTGTTTTTCATGATTATTTATTGTAAGTAACGACATACTAGAGAAATATAAAACATAAGCGCAAAGAAAAAAAATAAAGCTACACTGAAGTCTGAGTACAGTACTCAAAATGTTAAACACTGTAACGAGCCAAAAAACATTCATAGGCAAGACAACTGGTTCAAATTATTATAAACCGATGGGAAATAAAAATTGCTTGTGGTAGTACTGAAGAGGGTCGATGTCAAGGAGGGGCGGTGTTTAAGAGAGGCGGTGTTAGGGGAGAGGAGAATATAGCGATTAAAGATGATTAATATCTATAAGTTAATATTTTAATTTTTGCATGCAACAGTAGCTATGGTTACTTATCTAATACAAAGTCTATGAAACTGAAAGCATTTAATACATATATAGGTGTGTGCAAACCATCCAAATGTCGACTACACTGCACGAAGAAGAAGAGACGTTAACAAGACCACAGATCCATACCCGCCTATTACCGTTACTGCCAATGTAAAACTCGCGAGACCGCCTCAAGGTATGTTAAAAGCTTAATTATGTGATACATGTGTGTTACCGTATACGGAAAGCTAGTCTGTCATACCCGTCTGTTACCGTGTACGTAAAGCTAGATTATGTGATACCCGTCTGTCACCGGGTACTTAAAAGCTACTCTGTCATACCAATCTGTCACCGGATACGTGAAAGCTAGAGTCTGTCATACCTGCCTGTCACCGGGTACGACTAAAGGTACTCTGTTAAAACTTTATCAACAGAAAAATTATTTTCTTCAAGTCAACAATAAAAGAATAATAATATTGGTCCATTTCTATACTACGTTTGGTTTCAAACATTTCTAACTCGTAGCCAACAAATCTGTCTTCTTTTTTTTTCTCTTGTGAGGCTAAAATTGTGCTGGAGCATCACACTAAATACTGTAATCGGGTCTTTACGGGACAATGCGCTTGAATGATTAAATGCTTAAAATATGCGTCTAGATGCACTGTTCATACATTGTTTTGAGTTAAATCCTTTTTTCTTAACTGTGTACTCTTAATAACATGCAGACGGTTAAGAAAAAAACAACAATAATAAAGATCAGCGAGGTAAAGGCAACGTTCACAGGACTTAAGAAAGGTAAAGGAAAATCTTTTAAGATCGTTTGTCGTTGTTATTACCAATGTATTTAGTAATTCCTTTTTGCAGCCAAGGAAGAAGTCAAGGTTGAATGCGTTAGTAACGTTGTTGCCTACTCGACCATGTTGGCCCTGTCAATGCTTCTGCTCGTTGCTATGGGAGTTACGCTCATGTTGTTTGTCAAGGTAAACTGCTATGTATGTTATCAGTGGTCAATATAGGTTAATTTACCTGCAAGTTATCAGTGGTCATTCAAGGTAAACTTACTTATCAGTTGTCAATCAAAGTTAATTTTGTTGATAGTTATTAGCTGTCATTCAAGGTTAACTTAGTTATAAGTTGTCAGTCATGGAGGTTAACTAATTTGTTTAGTGAAAATCGACCACATCGTTTTCTTTATTTGCTTAATAATAATAATAATAATAATAATATTAATAATAATAATAATAATAATAATAATATCTTTATTTCCTCCAAAAGAAGAGCACGTTTTACAATTATATTAATTTAAAGGAAAAAGAAAATTTTATTCAATGCAAATAAATTTCATATGGTAATATAGATATCTAAATAATACATACATTAAATAATTTTATTTTTCTATTTTTTAAACATTAAATAATAATTTGGTAAAAAAATTAAAAAGTCAAAATAAAAAAATCTTATATAAAGTTTATATTTTCTTTTTTTTTTCACAAGCCTTTATTTTTATACGGGGATTTACAGATGACGTATTGCAAGTTCCTTGAAAATTTCCTTTTTCGAATTATTAATATATCATAACTTCTCATTTCGTGATTATATGTCAATGTTCTAGATAAGTACCGAACATTTTTACGCGGGTTTCTTTTGGCACAATTTTGTTTTTCATTTTGTGCTACTCTGACTTTTGAACATGCGGTGGTGTAAAATATTGAATGGCCCTATGCATGGGGTTATTTAAAAACAATTCATAACACAAATGTGTATATTTCCTTTTTAACACTTAACTGTGTGGTCTTGAACATTTTATACCTTTGTATTGTCTGTATGTGCTTCAGGTCAAGTTTTCGTTTTTACATGGTCTTTAAAAATTGTCCCCACAAAATAGTCATTCCCTCAACAGAAATGTATATTTTGCCCATTTTCCGTAAATGAACTTATCACATGTTAAAGCGATGGCGTAATTATGAGTTTACAACGCGGTTAGTAGTTTGAAAGCCTCGCATAGGCTTGACTTAAGGTATTAGGACCCTAATGGGCACTATAAGGAACTAAAAAATTGACATCATAGGTCAGATGTATACCTTAAAGTACATCTGTATGCAAAATTTAAACAAAGTTTACCGTACGGAAATCAAGTTATGGCCACTTTTCTGAACTCAAGCTAGGATGTTATGAGGGCCCTTTTTAGAAATGAGGAACCTTTAAATAATCTGCTATTACTTTCTAATGAAAAATGTTTTCTCATTAATTTTTAGTTAGAAACAAATAGTACCATTCAGCTAACAATCCACATAAGCAAAATTATGGTTTCTACTTAAAATTTATGAAATCTGTATAAAAATGTTACTCTACCCCACCCATTTTTACCACGTGTCTGACCATTTTTCTACTTACGGAGCCTAATTTAAAAAATTCTTAAAATTTACCCAAATGAGTGCCTGTTTTCAAAGTTTTCATAAATTTTTAAAAAAGTATATTGGTTGATCTTGTAAAATATGAAATACTTTTACCGTCTAGTTTTGATTATATTACACTTTGAAAATATCAGGTACCATATTTATAACTAGATTTAGCATAATTTAGCCAATAAATACCTATATAAATTAAAAAAATCAAAATTAAACACTATTTTTTCCAAATGGGACATGAGTGATACATAAATAATGTTAAAAGAAAAAAAGAAAGAAAAAAAAGTTGACCATTCTGGGGATTGAACCCATGGCCCTCATTTTCAATGTAGTTAACGGTAGTTCTAGCCTCATCGTCGGATACCCACGGCCGAACCATTAACATTTATCAGCCGTGGGATTTTTTGCCGATATTCAGTCGATTAGAGGTGTGTCAAAGGCAGCTATTTCATTGGCTGCCTCACGATTTCATGAAGCGTTTAAAACCAATCAAAACGCTCGTTCTGTACGACGTTCGGTATTACAAACAATATAGCGACAACCATAGACGACGTGTAAAGTTCAACATCGAAAAATTAAACGATATCCAGCAAGAAAGTATAGATAATTTACTTTTACAGCGTGATGTTTTCCTTTCTGATTGATATCTGCTTGCAGAAGAACTGATTTATTGATTTTAGCAAGACACGTGCTAAAGTTTTTAACCGTGGGCGCTGCCATTTTTTTCTTATTGTTTTTTACCTCCGCTGTTGAAGAATATAGATTTGTTAAACGCGATGTCATTGGTAGATATTTTACGCACCTGTTGCTGTATATCGACGCAAATCGGTTCATTTTACCCACGGTTGATTGCATGTTATGTAACATGTTTATCAATCGTGGGTATCCGACGATGTTCTAGCCTATTTGAATACTCTTCAACGCGGAGGTAATGCATTAGGGTGCTAATACCTTAATGGCGGAAGATGAGACAATTCTAGGTATGTTTACAATTTTTCAGCTAATGTCTTTATAACAGTAAAACGAAATGGATTATAATGTTTCAAAATATCTTTGTTAAATCATATTAAATGCCATTTTGATAGAGTTAGTGTATACTCAAATATGATTTGAAATATACGCGTCCAGTAGTAATATAAACATGCATACCTGTAACCATGACGCTGGATCATGCGTCATCAACAACCCTGATTCTTCACACACCTAAATACTAGTAATCCATATTCTCCATGTATACTGGTGCCTCATATTTCCGTTGTACTTAACTGTTTAACATAGACAACAAAAGTAAAGAGGATAAAATTCTGGAAAACACAGTGCATATTGTAGGATAGACATGTCAATTGCATCGTAATTTATTCAATTTAATGTTTGCATGTAAGAAATTATGTATACAACATTGTAATTAACACCCATCTGCGGCCTTGTGAGTAAATTTGTGTTCTCATATTTCCAAGGCAATTACATTTTAACACTTTCTGAAGCAAAACCAATAGTAAACTTTATTTATTAGTACACCTATACCTAGGCTCATCTGAAAGGGGCGATTTTCTCTTTGGCAGTAATCAAATAGCTCAATGGTTGTTTAACAAAGAAGATTTCTTAAAAGGTATGACTTCTAAAAGAAAAATTGTGAATTATTAAATAACTTTTCTCTTAATCTGAATTAAATATTTTTTTTAATGCTATATGAAACATTTCGATAAAAGTACAATACAATAGTACAAGTAAAACTACTGACAGGTTCATTAAGTCTAGGAGGAAGTTTAGACTGTTTAAGCCTGCTACCTTGGAAATATGGGTACCACGGAAATACGAGGCACCAGTATACTTAATCATGCTCCTTGTCTATATATCTTTAGACTATGACCGTCAATTGACCACATACCTCGGAAAAGCATTTGGAAATGACGCAATGCACAATTAATTTCCAATATGGCGCGTACCATATTTACAACAAATTTAAGAACATTGTTTTTTTTTTCTAATCGCGAATATTAGAAAATAATGCCAAGTTTATTAGTTTGTCACTCTTACTGACAAAACGTTTATTGTCCGTTTAGACAATTCATATGTCGGGGTTTTATAGTTAAACCAAAGTTTTGACAGCCTCGGGCTCTGACTATACGTTAAATTCGTAGATTGATGAATACGAATAGCCTTACAAATTAATAAGTGTTTTTCAGACGCTTGATTCAAATTTCGCCACGGATGTGAATTCAGGAACAGTCAATTCCAATATCATAAAATCGTTGACTCGGACGTTTCAGTATTGTTTAAATAATCACGAGCTATACATGTATATGCAATTATGAACATATGTTCATATTAAAATAAAAATATAAAATGCATTTTGATATACAGAATACGACAATATTATGAAATATTGAGGAATCTGATAAGAGATAAACAAAACATCGTATATTACACTGATACATATTGACAGGTTCTATTTTAAAGTTATTGTGAGTAGAACGCACAATACATGCGTAAAAAATGACATAATGTACCTTTTCTAATATACTATTATCATTTTATTTCAGGCATAAAAGCGTAAACAAAATAGATAAATACAATGTACATCACAAGATAAATCAGACAATACTCTTTATGCATTTATTAGACGTGGCAGAACAATTGCACTTAGATATCGCTATGAGATAAGAGATTTATATAAAACCATCACGCACCAAGAAAAAAAGACATTTACAAAATCGAACGTTGGATAGAGAAAAAGCTGCATTGTGGAAAGAAAAGACAAAGGGATGACCCAGAAAAACATGAAAACTACAAGCGAAAGGAACGATACAGTAACAGAACAGGAATGATAGTGGGAATTTTTAAAACCATCACAGACTTATAAGATAAAGAAAAAAAGACAAACGAGTTGTAAATAGAAAATTGCACAAGCAGAACATCGAGCAAAAGTTAACGTACTGATAAAAGCAGTGGGCCATCAGTTAATGTTATCAAACTCACCAGAAGCGGCACATTTCGACCCCAGTTAATGTTATCAAACTCACCAGAAGCGGCACATTTCGACCCACCACAACCACCATTCAACAGAACAGAAAGTCTTAGAAAACAGGCAGACGAAATCAGAAGTATCTGAACCGATCAAAAGTTCCCTTGGAACAATTAAAAAAACGGATAGAGCTGAACACAGAACGCAACCGCAAACAAATGTCCCGTACTTCGCTTCGGTGTTGTTATATTTTCTAAGTCCTTCTGGTAATTTTGGTATTTTTAATGCCTCAGATGGATCATTTTTTTCAGATATTATTAAAACAAATATAAAAAGCGATGTTACAGACTGAAGGAAAACATGATGCAGATAGCACGGATCAAACTATCAACGAATTAATCAAAAGTGAAGCATACTGATTACTTTTTATGTTGTATAACATAATTGATAAAAACCTACGCAAGAGATATAATAGATGCTAAGCTAATGAGAAAAGGCTAAATATACATAGAGAAGAGTGTTTAAAGCAGCTTAGTCTGGGCAAGTATGCTAAAACTGTAACACGAATAAAACGAAAGGGTCTCCAATGTTCAGTTTAAAGCACAACCGCAGTGTTCTTTTAAAAGAGATGCTAATTCTCGAATGAAAGCTGAAAAAACAACAACAATAACTCGAAAGCGAGTAAAGAAGCAGCACAGACTGTTAAACACATTCATAAGAAATATTTATTTGAGAGCACTAGCACAATATCCTACATATAATCAACTAAACTTAAAATATGATAAACAAGATCAACAAGGAAGGGCGGCGTTCTATGAACGCAACCTCCAGACGACCCAGCAAAAAAAAAAAAAAAAAAAAAAAACAGCGGTAAGGAGCCCTGGAGGAACCCAAACATGTTGGCTGACCAGACCAACAAAAAAGAACAGATATACTTGGCTGTGCAAGACACACGAAAATTCCAAACTGAAGGTAAATATATTATATCAAGAGAAGATCGTAAGCACTCGAGACCTGATACCACTTTTAAAGAGCATAACATGTGACACAGGTAGCAAGAAATGCATGTACCGGGAGTGTGAAATATGTAAAAAAAAAAGAAAATAGATGAGATGGGAAAAATGGTGGAATGGATGATACGGAAATCCAGAAGTATTGAAAATTAAGTAGTTAATGAACAGGGGGAGAAAGACATTAGTATGCAACAGGTGACCCTTTAAAACAGGGAGATGGGGACTTCAGAAACACTTGCTAATGAGGGACAGGAAGATGTCGAGAGACAAGCAAGGCATGTCTATGATAATCATCACCAAAACAATTTGAAAGATACATGCAGTGAGGAGGAAATAGTCTTACATGTAGACTTTTCAGAAAAATGTCCAAATACTCCGAAAAAGTTCAGAGCATGCATTTTAGTTCATCAAAACGCCGGATTTCCATGGGCCGTCTCCATCCAGTTATTCAGCACCTTAGAGTACAAATTCCAGGCCTGGACATATGAACACATCTGCGGATGTTTCAAAATTCAAAGTTTTAAAGTTCATGTTAAATGATGCATTCTGCTGAAGTCGGTGCTAGGGGGCGTGGACGGCAGTTTTCAATTACCACTACAGTCCATGAACACACCCAATCAAACCGAAACTGAAACATTTTCAATTTTGCCGTTTTGGGCTAAATATTGTTTACATTAACTAGTGAGGCAAAGCGCTTTTATTTGCTGTAAGACGCCAATTTGTAGAAGACATTGTTTGGTATAATAGGAAAGAAGACATATTAACAGTACTCATTCAGAACTCTGAAAGTGACGGGACAGCACTGCCTGATCAACAGCGAGATGTGGAAACTTTTAGAAAAATAACTTGGATTATGAAACAATTCTAAAACATGTTAAAGTATTTTAATGTTCCATGTTAATAAAATTCCCGTTAACAGCAATTGCTTTGTATTGTTTATTGCCAAATACAAGTAATCTTAAGGCGGTCAAGTCAATACCGAAACCGACATGTAAAGGTGATGCCAGTACCAAATGAGGACACTAATGACGTTAAACTTGACCATGACACGTACTTTAATTAAAGTATTAGTTATATTTACTTCGTTTTTAAATTTTACCTATTTTTTTCAGTATTATATGGTAGAAACATATTTGGTTCATTTGGAAAAAAATTTACTTTAAAATGTCTTTAATTTTTTGCATGTGCCCCTTTTTAAAAACAGATCACAATTTCAATGAGTTTATGAATGTTACTACTTTAAAATTTGGGTTTTTTTAAAAACAACGAGTTTTTTAATTTTTAATTAATTTTTGTTTTTGATATTAATTTTTAAACCCTTTTTTAAATTTAAATATTGAAAAAATTCAAAATTTGGGAGTTCTGTGCTAGAATTGTGGTTGTCTTTAAATAACATTACTTAGACAGGTTGCTATGCGGTTTTTAATATTAAAATATTTAAATTGGTTTTTTATGTAATATTACATTACTCTCTGAAATCACCCATACAAACAATGAAACGATAAATGAAAAGACCAACTCATCAACAAAACAAAACACCTAACAAAACAACGAACGTAAGAACGAACCAGCTGGACAATGACCTACAATAAATGTCACCAAACAAACAATCAACAGCTTCAGGGACCAAGTAATTATTAAGAATCGAAAAATTCCGAAACATACAAATACATACATATTTTCTTTTCTTTCTTTCAGCTGTCAAGCAGGCAAAAAAAGAAAGCGTAAACCGCTTTACTGGCGACAATATTGGCAGACGGTGAAACTGAAGACGGATAAACTTAAAGGCACACTATGACTCATAAAATACTTATTTTAATTCTTTAAACATGGCAAACATGTGTTTAATTATGTTTTGATAATAGATTTATAGCATGTTTTGTGTTTTGACAATCGACAAGAGTAGCGCTGATTGTGCAGTAATGTGTTGTTAAGGTAGCATTACACAAACAAAGTACAATGTAGTACTTTTGACTTCAATACAATATATCAATCCAAGAAATTGCTAATAGGACCAAAGAAGCAAAAGATAGTTCCCCAATATGTTAAAAGTACAGTTTTAATTTGGAAACAAAATACCAAACGGAAATTATTTTGATAAATAAAATGATAGCATTTCTGAGGTGTAATGGGCCTTTAAAACAATACATTGGATTATTAATTGCATTTAAACGAATATTTTTAATTCAGCAATGTTGAAAAAAATGTTCCCAAAATCTAAAGACGATTAGTTGCAGACTACAACATTTTTTAGACGATATGATTTGCAGACAACAATATTTGCAGACGAAAACGTGCACAAAATATATTTTGCCCAAACACGAATTTAACGTTCAGCACTTGTGCGGAAGGAAAATATACTATATCCAAAGACTTTCCACTAGATATTTTGAAGCACTTTGTCTTTGTTTAATAGAAACTCTTAACTATCTTTGAGAATTTCAAAATGTTAAAAAACAAGGGTATTTTCTAAGATAAATACTTACTGCCTAAGTTTCATATTTTGTTTTAAACCTTCAAATTAGATTATTTTTTTTTAATATCTTACGTGTGACTACATATATTAGCCATTTCCCCTGTTATAATCAAGTTGAAATAAACACTGTCTTTATAACCCTGATTATTCTTTATTGTTTTTGGATATTTTCTATAAAAAAATATCAAAATTATATGTATGTATATCATTCAATATAACATTGAGTTGTTACACTGAAATTGTTTTTCTCTTTCACTTTCTTTTGATTTTGGTTGGCCCTTTTCCAATAAGAATACGTGTGCATACCAGCCTGATTAGGAAAAGAAGTCATCGGGATCACCCCACTTGATTATTTCAGACAGGAGCGAGCACCTGTAAAGAACCACCGGTCTCCCGTAAGCTAGCTGGGTAACCTAGACCCTTGCTGTATTTGAGACAACAAGTGACTTGAAGGCAGATTCTCCTATCACTGTTTCATGGATTTGTTTGTCATTGACATTGAAGTCCTTACATAAAAAAACAGCTTCCCCCTTTATAGTGAACCATGATTTTATCCCTTCTTAACTCAAAAAAATAAAAATAAATTATTAAGGCATCGACGGTTACCCACGGTGTGTACTCCGTACAAACTATGAAAAGGACACCAAACTATATAGCGGCAAGTGCTTCCCGATTCTCTACCAGAGATGCAACCGACATTTCCAAACAAGCAGTGCTCCCCATATCTTTGCATTTAATCGCTAAAATGATAAGATCCGAAAACCCGCCTGAACTGACATCAACGTGTTAAGACAGAAACCTATAGCTCATAAGAATCGAACTCGCAGCTCGATGGCTCCTTGACAAAATATGCACCCTTACCAATCGTATCTTGCAGGGTTTTGAATTATAATGACGTCATTTTATTGATAGTGGTTACCTTTTTTGACTACAGTAATAAAACCACTCATAATAAATTCTTTCATGCGTTTGACTTACTCTGATTACTCTGATGCTCACCAACGACACTAAATTCTGAAGAGGATAAAGCATGGCAACACACAAGAAATCCTACAATAGAACCAAAGCGGCAAGATAGGGATTTCTAGCGGTGCGAAGAGGGCGACCAACAGTTTAACTCAAATACATACTGTTGTTCAGAAGAAGAAGAATACAAACTTAAGGAGTTATATATATTCCACCAATTATAACTTAATATGTCGGACCCATAGAGTTACAATCAAAAATAAATTTTGATAATGAACCTATATTATTGTGTGGAGTTTTAATTCAAAAGTTGGAAACAAAAAACACTTTGTACAATGTGACAGGTTTATATTAGAGTTTATGGGTAATGATGACCTTATACCTACTTATAATGAAATACTAGATCATGTAGATACATGATCATGTATCGCTGATAACGCAGCAAATGAATACGGCAATAATGCTTATTGATTTTTGTGTAAGTAATGATTTGCTTATTGTGAATGGATAGAGTTGGTATAGACTTTGGAAACGTCGGTACAATTGCAATATGTAAAGGCAGAAGCACAATAGATTTTTTATCTGAAATCCATGTATTTCGAAATAATCAGGAACTTTCAAATCGATGACTTCTCAAGCATGATTTCAGAAATGCACAATTCACTTACTCCTATAACTGGAACAGAGAATATAATTAACAATTTAAATACAATTAACACTATTAAGGGATGATTAATAACCAAACTGTGGAACATCAAACATTGTAGTACAAGTATTAAAATCTCACAAGTATAGATGCTGTTTTGAATATACTTGTTTGTTTGAAGGATACAAATGAAATTAAACACGATGGTTTTGATAATGTTGTTTGAAATTTTCAATGAAACATCTAAACATGCATTTGGCAGTAAAATAATTTAGAAGAAAACAAACTTATTGACAAATAAAATATAACCCTATTACTGAATGCAATAGAAGAAGCATTCTGTATCACACTGCACGAACAAATTATAATAATAATAACAAATAGGAAAGAAAAAAAATTATTCTTAAAGATGTAAGCAGGCAATATAAAAGTAAATTGATATTACATATAAAGTATACAAAAATAATTAAAAAGACTTTCTAAGAAAAATAAAAAAGGTAATAAGCCAAAAGAGTTTTGGAAAGATATAAATGCTGTAAATAAAGTTAAACTACAGCAACATGCAAAACAGAATGACGTATATGAATATTTGAAAGAAGAACACTCAAATAAATATGAAATATACAATAATATCCTAAATTCAGAACAAGAACCATATCTGAAGATAAATGAAGAAATAAAATAACAGATGATGAGAAAATAGATACTGTTAAAACATTAAAAAACAATAAGAGTACTTGATTAGATAATATTATAGAACATATCAAATGTACTCTAGATATAATGATACCATATACATAGCAAATAAAAATTCTGTACACTAGGTATATGTTAGTGTTTATCCGTTCTGTAGAACAGCTACGGATGAATACTGACATACTTAATGTCAAGCTTTATTTGGTTTCATTAATATTCACTTTATTACGTGACTACATGTCTATTTTAACGAACGCTGTTCTATGAAGCACTATGAAAAATAGAAGGCGACTATGAACGGAATTTAATCAAGTATCGACTTTTGTTCTTCTATGATAATTAGCACACATATTTTTTAAGAAATACAGCGTTTTCATTAGATGACAAATAAAGCCGAACTAATCTAGTTTAGAGATCATTGACTAACTATACAATACAAGCAATTATCATAAGCAATCCATAAGTCCCCTGCCGGTGAGAACCCAAGCAACATTATGATGAGACATTGGCCTTTCAATTATACCACTGAATGAATAAGTGACATAAATGAACTTAAATATTTTGAGTTTTAAGTTTGTCTATATCATAGTAATGTGTTAAGTTTCGCTGCCTAGTAAGGTTATTATGTTTAAACAACAGATAATCAAAAGGTCCAATTTTTATAAGTATAACTAATGTTTCAACTTTTCCATATTTTAAATAAATTTGTTGGAAATTGTTTTTAAAGTGATATCAGGAAACAGTTTTTATGAACAGACAGACAGACAGACAGACTGAGGGATATTCTTAAGTTATTTTTTAAAACATCCCTGTTACCAAAATACAACATTTTTTAAAGCAAAAGTCTTAAAGAGGAGATAACTTGAAATAAAGAAGCTAGAATTATGGACATTGTTATACATGATGTGAGTGTAACAAAGAACAATAATTATAAGTTTAAAGATCCCATTTATAGTCACAAATAATTTTTTTTTCATTAGCATTAACATGTATAGTAACAAAGATGAAATTAAAAAAAATCCGCCCAGATTCCTGTTCTTTTTGATATTTGACAAAATAATAATTGAGATTTTTGTTTCACTTATCTGTATTTGATTTTCATACAATTAAATACATTTCAATAGTAATTCTTGTTTGATATTTCCGCTAGGTAGCTGCACACTGTATTACATAATTCCACACTATAGTATTATAGATATAGTGTAGGTGTTGATAATTAATGTTAATTTAGAATTTGAAGTAGATCCATTAAGAAATAAAATGTTCAAAAATGAATAAGAAAAATTCAAAGTTTAAGGAAAAGATAATTCTGGAAATATGGATTCTAGATTTATAAACCTTGTCATGTTATTATGATGTTGGAGTTTGAAGTTAATCCTATAAGAAATGAAGAAGTTGGAGTAAAAAATACGAGTTTCTCAAAAGTAATTTAAGTTCAAGGGTGGCATAATTCTGGAAATAATCTTGCTAGAGTATTGAACCTTCCCACAAATGTTGAGTGATAATTACAGGCATATATATGAAGTTTGAAGTAGATACATTAAGAAATAAAGAAGATATTAAAAAAACACATTAATTTTTTGTAATAGTAATAGTAATTTTAAAATCAAGGGAGGTAATTCTGATAATTTTTGTGCTAGAGTTGTATACCTTATCACATATGATGTGGTTGATGGCCAGAAACTAATATTTAAGGTTTGAAGTAAATACCGTTAGAAATAAAGAACTTATAGGGAAAAGGCATAAACATTAGAAATGCCGTCTATTTGTTCCCATAGCAACAATTAAGAATTTCAACATAGGAAGACAAGGAAAAGATGTGCATAATCTTCAGACTGTAATTTACCAATATTTCAAGTTTCATAAAATATTTTCAGTACCTTTTGCGTTATCACTGGATCCAGTTTATGTGTTAAATTTGCCATATTTTCAGTCTATTTGTTTCCATAGAAACCAGAA